CTGGCCTTGCACAAGCCCCGCTCCCTCGGGCCCCAGGGTGGTAATTGCCGCCTCCTCAGTGCCAGGGATGACAAAGAAGTGGTAGAAGCAAAGGGAAGGCGTGTCCAGTCCTACCCCAGGTGGCTGCTGCCCAGGGCAGAGAGGGGGCCGCCCCCTGACCTCTCCCCACTGGTGTGACACCCTCCTCAGTGCTACCCAGACAAAGTATTTCTCCCCTTGCACAAGTCTCACTAGTCTTTAAGAATAGGTGGGCCTGACCTGAGGAAGTCAGTGATCCTTGAGCTCATGTCAAAATCCTCTCTCAGCTTTTCACTGAGTGACTCCTATGCTTGAAAGGGCTGCCTGACGCCATGGCTGGGCCTCTCCCCAGCCCCACTTCCCTGCCCTGACTTCACCTGGGCCCCTCACCCCGGGAAACCACCCAGCCAGGATGGGCAGGTGCTGACCTCTGCCCTTCCCTCCCAAGGCCAGGAGCACAGCTGCTCCTCAGGGCCACATACGATGCTTGCCAGAACCCAGAGCCTGGTCGATAAAGTCCTTTATACACAGCTGGGAGGGGGCATTTTTAAAGTCCAACGATGCCTGTGAGGTGGAAACAGGATTTTCCTACTGCTGTGTCTGAGGTAACCAGGGAGGGGGAGGAGAGGACGGTCACCTGGGGGGGGTGCCCAAAGGATTCCTTGACACTTCTCTTCCCCATCACATTCCCTAGTCCCCCAGAAACCAGCCCCGCAACTTCCTGTCAGGACCTGAACACCACCAGGTATTGTGCCCCCTCAGGTAGGGGGGGTGTTGCTGCCCCTTCTCACACGGGCTCCTGAGGGAAAATGTGGAATCTTGCAGCTGCCTTGAATGCTTCTTCCAGAGGGAACCACAGAAAGATGCACCAGCAAGCGTGGTTCCCAGGGTTTGCTACCGAAATTCTTTTTTTTTTTAAGATTTATTTATTTATACAAGCACTGGGGTACAGTCAGAGGCGCGGGAGGGTGAGAGAATTCACCAGAGACAGAGTGGGGAGCAGAACAGGCAGACGGATACAAGACACTGCTGAGGGGAGCAGCGGGCGGCAGGAGAGGTCTGCCGCACCATGTGGGTATCTCCCTGGCCGGCTGGGAATCGAACCCGCACTGCAGAAGCTGCGGACAGCTTCACAGCACTGCGCTCAACCCGCTGTACCACCAGAGAGGCCCTGCTGCAGGAATTCTTCCCTCCTTTTCCTCTTCCCCACATACCTCCTCTTCCTCTCTCTGCTCTTCCACCTCCTTCTCCCCCCTCCCCTCTTCTGCTCCGTCCCCATCTCTCTCCTCACACACACAGTATAGACATTTAAGCCAAGAAATATCCGAGTCATCACTCAGGTTTGCACGGTGTTGATTCTTTCCACAGTGTTTCCATGCACATGATGTGTTCACTTTTGTTACAACCCTGCTCCGAGGCAGGTTTATTTATTTATTTACTTTTACCACTTTTGACGGGTACAAAGAACCCCCTGAAGTTTGGCCAGCAGGAGAACTTAGAATAAAAACAGGTCAATCATTTGCAGAGTCAGTTAATGACGATTCATTAGGCACCTTACTGTACCAGCAATGACGCCAGGCCGGGCTCAGCAACACAATGATGAATAAGATGGCACCATCTTTGCCTTTGTGAAGCTCACAATCTCCTAAAGAAGCCAGACATTGAAACAAGTACAATAAAGAGCAGGATGTGTAATAAAAAAGCCAACGTCAGTGTCCTGGGAGGGGAGAGCAGGTGGATTCTAACCTGTGGGTCAGGAAATCCCCTCCCTCCCACACGCACATGCACACACAACCCTAACCAACGTATGATCACGAAACAGGCTAATAGGATGCATAGACGTTACAGAGAAGGAAGGGTAAGTGGGTGTGGAGAAGTAGAAACGTCCAGAAATCATGATGGTCATGAAGAAAGAGAATGTAGCACTGTCCGGGAAGTGATCACAATTCAGCTTGGTGAAGTAAAGTGGAGAGAGGCGTGCGGAGACTGGGAGGTGGGCAGGCGTCAGCTCCCAGGAGGACTTCCAGAAGCCCACACCCTTTGAGTCAGGAGTTTCATCTTACAGATATCATGTTGGCGAAGTGTGGGCTATGGATTGAAGAAGACCAGGCCTGTATGAAAAGGAGCATCTGGGAACCCGCTCCTCTCATGCAGGAGGTGACGGCGGGCCGCTATAGAATGGCCAAATAGTTTGGTGAGGCAGACACAACAAAAATGTTTTTTAATTATATTGGTATGAAACAGTCTTCAAAATATGTTAGGTGTAATAAAGAAAAGAACCGTTTTTCTAATATCCTGCACCCCTACATAGATTTTTAAAAAAGATATATTTGGTTTTTGCATAGAAGAACTGGAGTGTAGGCCAGAAGTGCGGGAGGTAAGAGGATTCACCAGAGACAGAGTGGGGAGCAGAACAGGCAGAGCAACCAAAGTACACTGCTGAGGGGAGCAGCGGTTGAGACAGGAGAGGGTCTGCTGCACCCTATGTGGGTTACTTCCCTGGCTGGGGATGGAACTCAGGCCTTGGTGGTGACAGCTTGATAGCACTGAGACGTAACCCCTAGGCCATCAGGGAGACCCCACGCCTCTACAGGTTTTATGAGGAATAGAGACACCTATGCCCAGATGTGTGCACAGCACTCTGCATTGGGTCCATAACAAATCTTCATCAGCTGATGTTCCTGAGGAGGACACCTGGGACTCTGGCCAGGGGTCCCCTGATTGGTTAGTTTAAATCTCCACTTCTGGGGGAGACTGACACTCAGCTAGCTTATGTATTACATCTTGGTGGAACCTCAAGGCTAACTCCATTTTAGGCCTTTTTATTTCTTTAGCTCTTTGAATTTTGCCGCCTGTGATGACTTATTTAATTAAAATCAGTTGTTTTTCAAAGGAGATGTTTTAGAGATGAAATCTACCAAGACTTAAGATTTACTGAGATGAGGGTTGAGACAGAAGATTGATGATGACGCCTAGGATACTGGTTTAGGCAACTTAACCTATTGTGTTACCATTTATTTGGTTGGGAGCACTGGTGGAGGAGCAGGTTTGGTGAGGAAGAAAAGCTGTTCAGTTTGGGACATGTTGAGTTTGAGGTGTCTGTAAAATATCCAGGTAGAGCTGTCCAATAGCTGAGCACAGAAGCTGTGCATGCCTGGAGCTCAGGAGACAGATCCAAACAGAAGATAAGGTGTTGGGAATCAAGAACTTGTTTGCATTAATCCTCTTTACAGAAGCAAATGGGTCTGCCCAGGTGATGAGGAAAATAGAGCACCTTGTGGACACAAAGTTAAGGGGTTGGGTGGAAGAGAAGCAGAGTGATAGGACTGGGTGATACTCTATGCATTGTGTGTGGGGGTGTGTGTGTGGGGGGGTCTGCTGCAGTCTGAATGCCCAGACTTCAGGCAACACCAAGACCATTGAGTGGGTTTAAGACCACTGAGTGTGTTTAGCTGCAGGTAGGTCACCTTGACAAGGTGATTGATTAGATAAGGTCAAGTCACAATGGGCTGAGTACTCAATGTGAGGTCAGTAGACAATGGGTCTTCTCTGAACAGGTCTGGCCTTGAAGAAGGAGTAATAAAGTTAGGGCAGCAACTGAAAGAAGAGGTAAGTGTTCAGGGAAAGTGTTTCCAAATTCTTTAAAGCTGGAAGAGAATAGAGCACGCTGTTCTCTGACTGTTTAGAGCTGGTGAGGAGGGAGAGGGTGAAGATACGTGAGAAGAGTTTGGAGAGTGATGGCTCCAACTCTCTGAGGACACAGCAAGAACACTGGACATGGCTCAGAGCTGGGAGTCTAGCTTCCTGCAGGAGAGGAGCACTCCCATTGTGAAAGAAAGAATATGATCACGGCGACTGAGCACTCTGAGTGTCAGTGTGTGTGTTTGCAATTTGTTTGATCCCTCCCTGTTCCACTCTTCTCTGTGCTCTGCATGAACTGTCCATGGTTTCACAACTTCCCTTAGTTTAATGCTATTCAAGACCACAGTTTTCTTAAAAGATGTATGAGTCTTTGGTGAGGATGGTGATAGAGCTGGGAAGCAAAGGGCTGAGGGCAAGATGAAGGCTGTATGTGAAACCCTGTGATGGAAGCCTTGGATGCCTAGTTCCCAATTTCCTTCAGGGAAGGGGGCAACTCATTCTCTATTATTGCAGTCTACCCCACAACCCAGGCCTGGGCAAGGGGTGATGAGGGTGGAGGATGGTTGGCGGTTGCAGGAGACATAGCCTTGTGCCTGCTACCTCCAGGCACAAGGATGATTAGCTACAAATGAGCCAGAGACACCAGAGATGGTCCCATTTTAAAAAATGGGCCACTCCAGCATAAAAAGGCATAATTTACCACATATTCTTAAAAAATACACCAGAATGCAAATAAGACACAGCATTGTAGACTCCAGGCCAAAATGCAAAGATAAGACCACTCAAACAAAATAACAAAACCAATACAATTTGAAAGTGGTCGAGGTTCCTAAATAGATATTTCTCTAAAAAAAAAAAAAAAAAGCCCTTGCAAGTGGCCAATAAGCATATAAAAAGATCTTTGATGTCATTAGTTGTTAAGGAAATGCAAATTAAAACCACAATGAGACACTATCTTCATACCCATTAGGATGGCTATTAAAAAACAACAACAGTGTAACAAGTGTTGATGAGGATGTTGGAAAACTGGAACCCTTGTGCATTACTGGAGGTAATGAAAAATAGTGCAGCCATTGTGGAAGACAGTCAGGCCATGCGTCAAAAATTAAACTTAGAATTACCATAAAACCTAAAGTAACTGAAAGCAGAGATTTGAGGGGATAATTGTGCACCAGCCTTTGTAGTGACCATCAACAGACAAATGGATAAGTAAAATGTGATCGATCAGGAGAATGAAATATTTTGTGACCTCTAAAGGGAATGAAATTCTGATACAGGCAACGACATGAATGACTCTTGAAAATGTTATGCTAAATAAATAGCCAGTGTGATAGGGCTAATGTATAATTCCATTTATTGAGGTACTTGGAGCAGTCAAACTCGTAGATAGACAGTAAGTAGAACACTGGTTTCCAGGGCAAGGACACAGCAGGGAATCAGTGTGGAATAGGTATGTTTCAGTTGGGGAAGATGACACATTTTGTAGATGTCTAGTAGTGATGTGACTGTAGCTAATGCCAAGGAATGGCACACCTACAATAGTAACTTTGTACTTCTGTGCATCTTACCACAATAATTTGTAAAATAGGGCAAGAATAAAGAAACTTTCTTCTTGCAGCTTTCTGGTTGGGGGGTGGTTACTAGGTGGGGAGAGAATACTTCAGGAGTGCAGGAAAAAGGGTAGGGCCATAACCTCAGTGCTATGTCTGGCTCTTTCCACAAGAAGCGCCACGGAGTCAGGCAGGTGTCATAGCTTACTCATTCATCTCTAGTGCTCGCACGGGTCAGCAAAAGAGGTGAAATAGATGTTCTAGCACCCCTACTTCATGCCTTCAGTTTTCAAGTCCAACTCGGCTTGAAGAGACACCTCTATTCCCAAGATGAGGGACTTCTAAGTACCAAGAAGATTGATGAGACAACAGACGGCCACTTCCCATCTCAGAAATGTTGATGTATCCAGGCCTTTAAGAATTACTCTGTCCACACCCTCTCATGAGTCACAGGCATGAATGCTACCTACTTGCATAGGCAAGTGTCTCCCTCTGCTCCCCCACCACTCCAGGCCCACCTGGAATCACGTCAAGAACAGCAGCGCTCCTAACTATATATGGTAGACCTTCTCTTCTCCGTCTCCTTCACCGACGTCTAATCCAGTATTCAAGTGTCCCAGGGTGTTGCGACGAATGATCTCCCAGCCCCGGTGACTGTTGCTGCTGTGGGAGGTGGTGCGGGACAAAGAAGGGGTCGGGAGGACCGGGTAGGTTCTGGCTAGAACCCCACTTTCAAGCAAAGAAGGTTGTTTCTCAAAAAGATGCTCTTGTCCATCCTCCTTATCTGAGTTCTTGAAAGCTTCCACGTAGCGAAGCACTTTGAAAGAATTCTGGTCATGGTGGTTCTCAACTCTGAAGAGGGAAGAAAGGGAAAGGACTCAGTTGGGTGAGGAGGAGCAGAGGTGAATGGGGCACAGGTTGGGCACAGGATCAAGAGGAATTGGGGAGGAAGAGACCAGAATTGAGGCAAGAAGAGTGTCTAGCATCAAGTGAGCGGAGTGGAGTAGAATGGAGGGTGAACTGCGACACACACCAGAGAGGTATTTAGAAGGCAGTAAGGTGTGTGTGTGTGTGTGTGTGTGTGTGTGTGTGTGTGTGTGTGTGATGGTGGGGTGAACATCAATGAGAATGAAAGAGAAATTAGAATCAAGTAAAAGATAAATGTTTCACAAGGATGAGGAGATACAGTTCAGGACATGAATGAGATGAGAGCAAGGTCAGGACTTGAGGGTAATAGATGAAGGAGCTTCGAGGCATGAATAGACAGAAATGGCGATCAGATGGGAACAAGACCTGAACACGTTAGGTAACCCATGGCCACATCTGAGCATGGACTCAGACACATAACTTTTCACACATTACTGCCCTGCTGTCTACACAGCCTGGCAAGCAGGTATGAGCGCTGCTTTTCCTCCCCACTTGGGCTCCACTCTCCTTCCCCAACAGGAGAACGCAGTCTCACTTTACAGACAGACGATGTCTCCTTTAGGGACAATTTGGGGTCTCAAGACCCTGACTGTGGAACTGGTCACACCTGTTCCCAGGATCTCAGCACTTGCTTTTACAGCTCACCCCCATTCACTGCTACTCACCGCAGGAACCAGCGGTCCCCCAGGCCATACTCGCACCCACAGATCCCTGACCGAGGCCACAGGAAGCGAGGCATCTTCCTTTCTAGCATCACTGTGGTGGCCACCACCTGGAAGAAGAGGAGAGGTAGAGAAGGGCTCTGAGAGATGCGCGAGGTTCCGAGAACACCAAGACCACGACAGAGGGAACGGAAAAGACCCTGTGGGACAAAGACACCAGAGGTCAGTGGAGATGACAGCCCCTGGTCCATCCCCTGGCCTGGGCAAGCCACCACACCCTCTGCTTTAACTCATCATTCCGCATAAAAGGAAACAATATATTTTATGAGTATTTTGATTAAAACGGTGATCTTTAAATTCCTATTCAGACTCATCGAAAATGAGTCACTCTAAACTAATCTCATTTCCTTTTCAGAATAAAGCCATAGACCAATTATCTTGATGTGATAAAGGAATTAAATAGAATCTCTCTGATTTGGGGATGGAATGATGAGACTATAGGTTAGGGAATTTGCAGCAAATTAGATACTCATGTCTTAAGAAATGGATGGGTTAATGACAGAAAACTTGGCAGGGGATATGCTAGAGGCATGTCATCTGCTCTGTCCTTTGCCCAGCTCTCATTAATTACTTAGATGAAACATAGAAAAGAAGCTTATCAAACATGCCCATAACACAAAACAGGAAGGGATGTGTAATGTGCGAGGTAACAGAAGTAATAGAAAATGATGTCACCTGGCTGGAATGCTGGTCAAAAGCCAACACTGTGAAATTCAAGAAAACATAAATATAAGATCCTACATTTATGTGTAAGAATCAAGTACTTAAAGTGCCTCTTCTTAGCATCTTCTACTTCTCTGTGACACTTGTACTACTGTCCTTGTACAACTTGCTACAAAGTCATTAGTTTAATGTCTATCTACCCAATCAGACTGTAGGCTCCAGGGCTGCATCTGTTGTGTCTAACTTGTGTCCCCTGCTCCTAGACGGTTTTTACCACACAGCAGGTGCTAAATATTATTATAAAATGAATGAAAAGTTTGAGGCAATACTTGATATTTGAATGGTACTCGTGGAAGAGCTGGGTTAGGAGGAAAAGACAGGCCAAAGAATGGAATTATAGAAAAATAATTTTACCTTAAGGAACACAGACCTTCCTAATAGTAAAAGCTTTCAAACTATGAAAAACGCCCCCTCCTATTAATCACCACCCTAGTCCACAGAATAAGGTCCTAATCAGCATTAAAGAAGATACTTGTGGCCTTCCGACCAATAAATGATTATATATTCATCAGGAGTTCAACTAGAAGACCACTAAAAGCACTTCTAACTAAAATTATATTAGTCCATGATAATACAAAGAAAAGATGAAGGAGAAACATGGAATTGTAGCAGCAACTAGAAGATAAGTTCCAAATTAAAAACTAGACCATTTAAGAAGAACACAATTTCCACCATATACAGATGACATGGCAATATACTTAGAAAGCCCTAAGGATGCTACCAAAAATATTAGAAATAATAAATGAAGAAGTAAAGTTGCAGTCTACAAAAGCAATATACAAGAATCTGCTGCATTTTTATATGCAAACAATGAATTAAAAGAAAGAGAAATGAGGAAAATAATAATCCATTCATGATCTCAGCAGAAATATTAAAAACAAAAGCCCTAGGAATAAATTTAACCAAGGGAGCGAGGATCTGAAAACTATAAAACAGTACTGAAAGAAACTGAAGACACAAAGAAACGGAAAATACTCTGCTCATGGACTGAAGAAACAATGGTGTTAAAATGCCCATTTTACCTAAAGCAATACACAAATTCAATGCAATCCCTATTGTGATTCTTTACAGAAATAGAACAAAAAATTCTAAGACTTTTATGGAACCACAAAAGACCTCAAAAAGCCAAAACAATGCTGAGAAAAAAAAACAAAAATGGAGGTACCATGCTCCCTGACTTCAAACTATGCTACAAAACTGAACTAATCAAAATAGTATGTTGCTGGAATAAAAACAAGCACACAGATCAATGAAATAAAATTGAAAGCCCAGGGAAAAAACCACACATACATGGGCAACTAATTTATGACAAAGGAGCCAAAAGCATGCAATGGAGAGAAAGCCTTTTCAATAAATGGTGTTGGGAAACACGGACAGCCACAGGTAAAAGAATAAAACGAGGCACTAGCTTATATCATACACTAAAATCAACTAAAAATGGATTAAAGATTTGATTATAAGACCTGAAACCATAAAACACAGATAAAAAAATAGGAAAAACTCCTTGATATTGGTTCTAGTGTTGTCAGTCAGGAGTCAACCTCCAACAGAAAGAGACCATGGAGAATATAGACAAATGGGATTTCATCAAACTAAAAAGCTTCTGCACAGCAAAACAAACCATCATTAAAACAAAAGGCATCCTACTTAGTGGGGAAAGATATTTATAAACCATATATCAGAAAAGTATTAATATCAAAAAATATATAAACAACAACAAAAAAAAAACAAGCAATCCAATTAGAAAATGGGCAGAGGATTTCAAAAGACATCTCACCAAAGATGTGCAGATGGACAGTAGACACATACAAAGATTATTCTACTTTATTTATATTAGGAAAATGCAAGTTAAAACTACAGTGTGATTTCACCTCATGCATGCTAGAATGGTTATTATCAAAAAGTCAAGCAATAATTCACATTGGCAAGAATGCAAAGAAAAAGGAGCCCTTGTCTGCCCTTGGTGGGAAAGTGAGTCGGTGCAGCCATTATGGAAAACAGCATGGAGGTTCCTCAAGAAATTAAAAATAGAACCACCATATGACCCAGTGGTCCCACTTCTGGGTAGTTACTTGAAGAATATGAAAACACAATTCAAACAAACATAGGCACCCCTCTGTTCAATGCAGTACTATTCACAATACCCAAGATATGGAAACTGCCTAAGTACCCAAAGATGGAGGAGTGAGCAAAGAGGATCACACACACACACACACACACACACACACACACACACACACACACAGAGACAGAGAGAGAGAGAGAGAGAGAGAGGAATATTATTCAACCATAAAAAGATTAAATCTTGCCATTTGCAACAATGTGGATGGACATGAGGGGATTAGGGTAAGTGAAATAAATCAGGAGAAACACAAATACTGTATGATTCCATGCATGTGGGACATAAAGAAAACCCAAACAATCCTTCAGACTCTTGCAACAGAATGGTGGTTATCAGAGGAGAAAGAAAGTAGGAGGGAATGGTAAAAGGGGAGGACTGGTTAGTGACAGAGGGTGACTGGACATTCGGCAGTAGGTGTGTTAAGAAAATGTAATGTACACAATATTGTAAACTAATGTTACTTCAATTAAAAGAGAACAAGATGATGTCTAGTTCCCACTGGATTCATGGATGACTCCTAGACCAACATTCCCTGGTGATCAGATTGTGGGTGTTGATCCTACCCCAGCCTACCATTTTCCCTCCTTCTGTTCCCTTCATCTATTTGAATGCCCCTCGGGTGATGGCCTCACTGAGCTGCTCTGTGACTCTCCTAAGAGTTGATTACTGTGACATATACCACTTTGATTTTTCTCTCCATCCTCTGTCCCTTTGCCAGACTCACAGTAATAAACTCACCTGAGCCCTCCAGAGCTCATCCTGTTCGTGGGCCACCCGCCAGTGGGTGTCGCCCATCATGGCAATGAACAGGTTGAGCATGAGCAGTGTGGCGATGATGGCGAAGGCAAAGTAGACAATGCCATACATGAAGGGCAGGTCCACATCGTAGTTGGCAGGTCCGTCAATGATGGTGAGGAAAAGCTCAAAGGTGCTGAACAGGGACATGGGGTAATCGTAGAAATGGCCCAAATTGACTGGATTCTCAGTCTGGAAAATGATATAGAATGCTGCTCCGCCCAGCACGAAGCCATGGAGATGGGAAAACAGGGAGGTATCATCAGCATCCTGGTTAGCATTTATTCTGCTCCACTGTTGATCTTCGTACGTTGACACACCCACACATACACTTACCCATAATGTAGATGTGTGAATGTACATCGAAGTCACATATACACACCCCACACACACACATAAATAACTCAACAATAATAAAAATGCAACCCAATTAAAAAATGGGCAGAGGATTTAAATAGACATTTCACCAAAGAAGACAGACACATATGACTATGTTCTACATTGCTTATTGTTAGGAAAATACAGATCAAAAACACATTATTTCACCTCGTACCTGGCTAATTCTATGATGTCTGTCTTCTGACCAAGTTCATCACTCTGGATAATGGTAAAGCTCAGTCATTTAGCAAAAAACAAATCTATCTGCCTATCTATCTATCTATCTATCTATCTATCTATCTATCTATCTACCTACCTATCATCTATCACCTAACTGAATTTTGCATTTTATGAAACCAAATATTTAAGACAAGTTGTTACAAGAATGCATGAAATCTTTAATTTCCAACAATTTTAAAGAACTGTGCATGTGAAAAGGTAAAAGAAAAACATCTTTTAAAAAATACCGACAGCCTCTAAACAATCATCCATCACTCTGAGATTCCCTGAGTGAACTTGGACCATCCTGGAAAAGATTTCCCTCCTCAGTGTGCAGCCTACTGGTTGATAATGGGCACTAGTTACAGCATTAGAACCCCTCTGTATGGGGAACTGAAATGTAAACAAGATGATCTCAAGAGCAGAGAGGGGGTCCATACCAAAACACTGCCTTCTTACGTACTAAAGAAAAAAGTAAATACCAAGGGTCCATTTGTAAGCTGTCTATGTAGAGATGCGGATGGGGTAGAGGGTGGAAAAATGGGTACCTGAGGCTAGAATTAAGTCCTCAGCCAGTGTCATTTTTGGAAACAGCGACTTTAAGTGAAACAGCATTGAATGAAGCCAGGTCTTCCAATAACATCTGTTATTCAACATCATCCCCAACTGTTTTTTTTTTTTCTCCTCAATGTTACAACAAAATGACATTATCTGAGGACCTGCTTAGTGAGCAAAACAGGCAGCCTGCCACAGTTTTAGCCTCACCCAGTTCAAGTGTTGGTGCCCATTTTGGGGTTCACTTGGATGGGAATGCCCAACAAACAGGGATCCATCCCCAAGGCCTGGAGTGGCATCCTTTGTACTAGCCATGGTGTTTTAGAGTTGGGGGTTTTCAAATACTGCCTAGGACACCCCCTTGCCATGAACGGGCAGCTGCAGCCCTGGAAGACTGGGAGACTAGTTTCAGCTTTTTGCTCTTCCTTACTCTTTCCACCTTTCCCTCAGGACTTTCTTCTACTTATTCACCCCTGATCCCTCCCTCTGGCTCTTCCTGTTATTTCTTGCTAGGTTCCTGTCTCTCCTCCTGGCTCTCTGCCAGAAGCCCTTGGGTCTTAACCAAGTCCCTATTTGCCCTTCTTTCCCCAGCTCTGCACAGCACTTCTTCTCTTGTCCTCCCTTTTTCTTCAAACTCTGCAAATGCATTTCCTGTACATCCTTTTTCAAATTATGTCCTTTTCTCTCAATTTTAAATGGCAGGAAAAAATAGCATGATACGTGCTACTGAGTGCGCTATGTTACTCCTTCTGAAGTGTAGACATAAAAGAGTTAATTACCATGCTACCTCTGTTTGCCTACCTAGTTTTCTGAGCTCCACAACTGGCCAGTCTTTCCTGTTTAAAGTCTCTCTCTCCAAAGCTCTTTTTCAATCTCTGCTTTAAAGATCTTGCAGCAGTTAGTCAACACGAGTGCTCTTGACCCAGAAATTCCGAGCACATGGGGCTGCCTTCTAGGCAGGCTGAGTGGCTCTGATATATGGATGTGGGTGTGCTTCTTGACTCACATTCTACCACGGGATTAAAAAAAAAAAAAGCAAAGGGGAGTGGAAATGAAAACTGAGAGCAAAAGTGAGAGGGAACATTCTGGAAAACTGGATCTGATGATCTAGTGGAGGAGGGTATAGTGCTCTTACCTGAGGCAAAGCCCAGAATAACCACAGCCATCAGCCAGCAGAAACGCATTAGGTCTCCAAAAATCATCTACAGGAGACAGAAGGGGAGGGAGCTGGGACGATCCTTTCTCCACCAGTATCTCAGCAGCAATTGGGGAGATGCCCAGTGTCCCACTAGTTCATTTTCCCTCCCTCTGTCTGGGAAGGTCATGTGGCTGAAGCCAGAGGAAGATGGGGGGCTAGCACCGACCTTCTGGATCATGATGGTGAAGGGACCCAGCATCTGGAATCCTCGAGCAAAGTACATAACACTGCACCAGCCCAGCACCAGGGCGATGGATATGGGCATGACCTCCCCGTTCATGTCGGCCAGTCGCATCACCATGGTCACCAGCACCAGGAAGGCATAGGTGATGCTGGGGGGATTAGGAGCAAGGAGTGAGAGGAGGGCTGGAGATATTCTAGGTTCCCCCCAGCATGGTGATGCCTTGCGTGGCACCACACACTTGATTTTTACTTCTAAATCCCACATACATGTCTACTGGAGAGAACTCTCTGGAGGAGGGTTACCTGAGTTCTGTGTCTCAGACAGATGCAGAATGGAGACCTGGAACAATTCTGGTGAGGGAGGACAGAGGAGAGGGAAGGACACTCACATGATGACGTGGAACGGTCCCCCGAGGACAGTCTGTCCGAAATAGCGAGAGGCCCCAACCCTGAAGATGTCAGGGATCTGGAAAGAGGTAAAACAAAAAGACAATGTAGACAGCAGCTCAGCCGGGGATTCAGGTGGATGGACCCCCCACCCTGTACCTTACCTCTAGGAGCAAGATGACCACTGCCCCAATGACTGTCACCAGCTCCCCCACCAGTCGGAACTTATCCTGCTGAGTCACATAGGCTTCCTACAGCGAGAGGGGGAGGAATTCAGGATGAGAAGAGCTTTCTGATGAGCTGAGATTCAAGTCCAGTGGGGCAATGCTCTAAAGCAACTAAAAGCTACCTTGGAAGAGATCTCCCCAATCACCATCGCCCTAGCACCATGGCATTTGGCACGTGGCTAACTCTGTGATCAGGACCTTTGTCTATGAATTCCAGGCTTAATATGTGTTACATATGCCAATGACTTGCGCTCTCAACTAGCACATCAGCACATACATGCTGATCTCATTGTGGTCCCCAGCAGGTAGAACAGACCATCAGCATATCACAGTATGGATATACAGCACCTATAGGCTCGACAAAACCCTGAATCAGTCACTAAACCTCCCTGAGCTTGACATTTCTTATTTGTAAATTGGAGACTAGAAAGGCTACCTCCTAAGGTTCCTGTGGAAGTTAAATTAGATGGTGGATTTGGATGTACTCTATGAGCTATGAAGCACAATAGATACATTCCTTGTGGCTTATTATGAGTTTGCAATAGACAAAAGGGCAGAAAGGGCTAGAGCTCCTGGATGGGTTTTAGTTCTGAACAATAAATGAGAAGGTGTGGCCCACGGTCAAGAAGATAAGACCATCCTCCTTCTGTAATATGACTTGGGAGCGAAAGGTCTGCAACTCTACCCAGAGGTAGTGAGAAATTTCAGGAATCACAATCCTGAATTTTTTTGAATTTATGAATCCTCTGAGAATATCACAAAGATTATGGACCCTTTTCCCAGACAACTGTGTTCATCTGTACACAATTCCCACATGAAATTGCAAACATAATTTCAAAACATTCAAGTATCTGTTAGGCTTTGGGAACTCTGTACTCAAGGTTCTATTTCTGAAGAGATGTGCCTAAGACAAGAGTTGAGAGTCCCTGGGGAGAGTGGGAAAGTGGATGATGTAAGTCAGGGAGGAGGTGACCTCTCATTAGGCATGAAGAACGCTAGTCATCTCTGCTCTGCTAATAAACTGGAACCCCAAGTGTTCCTCCGCAGGCCACACAGGACTGTGCTGGTGGGTCCAGTGAGAAAAGAGTCTTTGAAAGAGACAGAGATACCATGTGTTGGGTGGCGATCTATGGCCTAAAGGAGCACCCCCAAGAACCTAAGGCTGCTCAGAGCTTGAATCATCCCAAGAGAAGTCAAGGATATGACCAGTAAGAGAAATGGGGCAAGACTTCTCAACGATGGTGGAAGTTTCAGGTCATCACATGGGATCGGAAGGGATCAGGAAAGTGCTGGGGCCTGTGAACAATATGATTTAACAATCTGGGATGAGTTTCAGTCATGTTTCTGCTGTTGTTGTTTCAAGAATCAAGTTCTGTCAACTTCTCTGACACTGATCTTTCTTGAAAAATTGAAGTTCTCCCTTTATCATTTTTGGACAGCTTCCCTGTTGTCTTGCTCCCGAGGAAACTCAGAGCTCCTTTTTGTCCTCTATGCTAGCAACTCTCGCTGAATCTCTGCTCCTCCATCCTGAAATTCAATTCATGGATCTTGTTCTTTTCCTTTATCTTACCCTTCCTATACCACCTCTCTCTCATCGTAAGTCATTCGAATTTCACTTGAGAATGCGGCAGTAATAGGATAAATAGTAAATGTGTTACCTACAGAAATAAGATTACATTGACTGTAGAGAGCACAGAGACGCAACTATGTGCCTGGCCTGTACAATTTCTTAAAAATTATTTTTAAAACTTTGCTTTTTGGCTGAGTATGTCTGGAAATCTGCCACCAACTTCCCTGGCTCAATTAAAAAGAAAATGATGTGGGCACAGGTTTGGACAGGAGAGTTTTGGGGATCAGAGCACCCCTAGAGGACAAGCGGAGAGTGGCACCAGTTGCTCCCTGAAAGGATAAAAAGGTACAATTCCCTAGTGGAGAATGTTGGGGACAGTTTGTGTCACCAGACCCCCTTTGAGGGCTTCCTCTCACCGCACCCCTCGGCTTGTCCTACAGATTTTGTTACAAGTGGGAGCTCCCCTGAATAGCTTCACCAGTGAGTAAACGACCCCAAATTTTTGCTTCCACTCCATCTGGGTTCCTTGACTGCCCTACAGTAGCAGCCTCCTCCACTCTGTCCTAGGCTTCAGGGGGACATGGTCTCCCCAGAGCCCCCTTCCTTGCTGCTCCCCGCCGCCGCCCCCGCCAAAAACCTTTGTGCAGAATTTACATCTGTTTTATTTTACTTTATTTTGTTTGCTTTTAACTGTTCTCGCTCTTTCTGGAAAACAAAAGATGCTCTATGTGTTGTAATAGAAATAATGGTAGTTCCCACCACTAACAGCAAAAGCCCCAACTGTGTATATACGATAGAATATTAATCAGTCAGAAAAGAAGGAAATTCTGCCAATCGTGACGGCATAGACAGATGTAGCGGGCATTATGCTAAGTGAGATAAGCCAGACAGCGAAAGACAAATACTGCATGGTATCGCTCGTGTCTGGAATCTATAAAGATAAGTCGGTCTTAGGAACAGAATAGTGAAGAGAGAGAGTAGAATAGTAATTACCAGGGGCTGGGGTGTGGGAAGAAATGTGCGTAAACTAGGAAGTGTATAAACTTTCAGTTTAAGATAAATAAAGTCTGGGATCTATTGATTAATATAGTGATCAAAGTTGGAAACACCATATTATATAAGTAGAATTTGCTAAGATAGTGGACCTTAATTGTTTACACACACACAAAAAGATAAATATTGAGGTCATGTGTTAATTAGCTAGCTGGTGAGAATCCTCTCACAATGCATAGGGTAGCAAATCACCGAGATGTATAAATATCTTACAAGGTTATTTGCTAACTGTACCTATATAAAATCGAAAAAATAATGGCAGTATTGGGCTCTTGTGACCTTTCGCTTTTCTTTTAATTTTAAGGAGAATTCTAGTGTTTCGCTGGTGGCTCTTGCTTTGGAACAGCCATTCTTTTCAAAGTTGAGAATGATTTTAGTATTTTAAAACCAGACAGGGACACTCAATTTTAACAAATGACTTTTTCTCATCTCTTGGACTGATCATAAGAACCACCCCCTAAGTAACCACCCTCATAGCTCTGGAACTTAACCCTAAACTCAAATTGCTAATGAATATTTCTGAATTTTGTTCTCTGGGGATTATGCTCAAGAGTTTCTGTCTCTATTAAGAGGCTGACCCACTGCATTCTAGAGTTGTGCTCATTATGCAAAGGATTTGGGGTCAAGTTTATGTTTGGCAAAGTAAATTAGCAGACACACTTCATTCTGGAGGGCCTGTCCTTCCGGTCTCCCAATTCTCTCTCCAATGCTCCCCTTCACTCAGTCTCCAGCAAGGCTGCCTTGATGCACACCCACACATCTATTACCCAGGTTCCCCTGCATCCATGCCCCTCTTTTAGCCCATGCCCCCACGCCTCTGGACTGGTCTAAAATGCAAAAATGCTAATGCCAACACATGGGACTTCTCTGTTTAATACCTTTCCCAGCTCCCAGTCTTCAGACTAAAAATGAAGGGGGAGTGTTCTTTAAATCCTTATCACAGAATTCAGTAGGTAATAGTTAATTGACAAAGATAGACAGAGGCTTATTTTCAGCAGTATGGAGGTAACAACAAAAGAGAGGTCAAAACTGGCTGCCTCCAGGGAATAAGACGCCCTCGCTGTCTTCACTACACCTGCCATTTGACTTTTGAATCACGCTTATGAATTCTTTTCATTAGAAGAGAAGGAAAAATAAGACCCAGATGCACAGCAGGTGATGTACGTGGCGCTTGCTGGTTGAGTTCCTGCCCCCGGGTCCCCACTCTCTCTGAGACCCGGCCACAGGGAATGGCCAGGGTGCACCACCCTTAAGCCAGGCTTTCCAGGACTTGGCCCCTCTCTTCCTTCGAATGCCGCCACCCCATTTCCCTACTTCACCTTCTTCCTTCTGGGTCTCCTTTCCCGCACCTCCACGCCCAGCTTAGGTGTCCTGTAGAAATGGGTGTTGCTTTCTGCTGACAACCCCTGCCCTGCACAACTCCCGGGACACCATGCGTTGCCAGGAACCCTAGCGCTCCCGCGAGCAGGGGGTCTTCCTCCTGCTTTTCACCCGCAGTGAAGAAGATAGCAGGTGTTCCATTAACAAGCAAGAAAGGGGAAGGGTGGGGCGGGAGCAGGGAGGAGTAGACAGAGTATGATCTGGGAGTGGCAGAAAGGAGAAAGAGGGGGAACTGGCAAACAGGAAAGGGGGTTTCCAGACCCCACGTTCAAGGTCACCCAAGCAGGCCTGGCTAATAAAGTGCTGTGAAAATACTTATTCCTGCCCACCCCTTTCAAACTAAATGTCTTCCCGGGATGACTGTCATTCTTTACCTCATCACATGGCTGGGCATTTCAGGAGCTGTCAGCAACCAAATCCCTGTGGAGACTGGCCATTCATGCTTCGCTGACCTGGTGGGATTGCTGCCACTTACCAGCTGGCTGAGCTCCCTGCCTTGAAGGGAATGACCAGACAGGGTGGGAAGAGCAGAGCTGGGGGACTGCTGCTGGGGAGGACAGGGGGCATAGACACCCCCCTGCCCTTGGGCGAGGAGTGGGAGGCACCAAGAACATGTCTTGGAAAAGACCCTCTTGAGGCCCCAAATCTCAGGCTTACAAAGGAAGGACATTCCCAAGAAAAGTCCTGCCAGCTGGTAATGAAGAGCGATCCCCTAACCACACAGGTTCCTCCTCACCAGGCTGCCCATCAGAATCAACTGGAAAGTGTGTCATTTAAAATGAATGGGAGGGGGCCTCCCCGGTGGCGCAGCGGCTGAGCGCTGGGTTGCGAAGCTGCCCGCGGCCTCAGCGGCGCCGGTTCGATCCCCGGCTGCTCCCCGGCCACCAGAGGAGGGTCCCACATGGCGCGCAGACCTCTCCTGCCGCCCGCTGCTCCCCTCAGCAGTGTACTTGGGTCCTTCTGCCTGCTCTGCTCCCTGCTCTGGCCCTGGTGAATTCTCTCACCCTCCCACGCCTCTGACTGTACCCAGTGCATGTATAAACAAAAAACAAAACAAAACAAACAAATAAATAAAACATGCCTCTATAAAAAAATAAAATAAAATAAAATAAAATGAATGGGAGGGCCTCCCTGGTGGCGCAGGTGGTTGAGCGCAGCACTGTGAGGCTGTTCGCAGCCTCTGCAGCGCGGGTTCGATCCTGGCCAGCCGGCAAGAATCCCACATGGCGCGGCAGACCTCTCCCGTCTCGCCCGCTGCTCCCCTCAGCAGTGTATTTTGTCAGTCTGCCTGTTCTGTTCCCCGCTCTGTCTCTGGTGAATCCTCTCACCCTCTTGCACATCTGGCCTGTATCCCGGTTCTTGTATAAATAAATAAATCTTTAAAAAAATAAAAAATAAAATGAACAGGAATCTCTGAGTCTTTCCTGCCACAGGTATCTCACTCACTCTGCATCCAACCCACTACAAAGTGATGACACTTTGCCTTCAGCAAGTCTCCTGATGCTAACCCCTATGCTTGCACCCCACCACACCCCTAGGCAACCCACTATTCACTCTTGCTTGCTGCACTGTAATAGCCTCTTAACTTCTCTTCCCACAACCTCCTTGGTTCCCTCAAATCTGTTCTCCATCTTACAAAAGGGACTTTGCCAAGTCCCTCCTGTGTTTGTGGCCTTTTGAATTTCTTATCACCTTTAGGATAAAGAGTAAAAGCCTCAGATGGCCTGCAAGGGCTTATCTGATCTGGGAAGGATCTGCCTGGACAACCTCAGCTGGAAGCCCCTGTTCCAGCTCCCAGTACTCTAGCCAGACTGCTTTTAATTCTTAGATAATGGTGAGGTCCGTCCTGCCCCAGGACCTTTGTACATGCATTCTTTCGGCCTATAACTCATCTTTTACCTTCCAGTCATCCCCAGATCCTAGCTCAGGTATATTCCCAGGGGAGCCCTCTCTCACCTTTCATAGTGCCTGCACCCCTGTTACATGCTCTCTCAGCACCCTGTTCTTTTTCTTATTGTAGGAAAAAAATCACATAAACTGTAACAACCACAGATTGCAATGAAACATCCAGTCACTTAATTCATATAAACTAGCCAGTAAACTCCCAAAGGGCAGAGATCAGCTGTGCTTTGCTTAGACCTTGTTGAATTTCCAGCAATTTAAGACAATGTCTGGGCTCTCCTAGGTTCTCCACAATTACTTATTTAATGAGGGGATTAGTGAAATACTTCTAGGGAAAGAACAGAGGAACGGTTGAAAAAAATTTCTTCCAGAAACAAAGAAAAACTGATGATGTGGAATCAATGCCTTCTTACTGAACAGTGAGGAATCTGAATGAGCAGAGTGATTGGCTTAAATTAGGAACTTGGAACTGACTACATCTTAGAGGGAAGAGCAAGTTGTTCTCTGTCCTGGATGAACATCTCTGGGACTCACTTCAAGGATTTCTTAAAAGTGCCAGTGTCCAGTCCTCAGCTCCAGATGTTTTCTGACATTCTGACTTATTAGGTGTGGCACAGCTCAGGAATCAGTGTTTTTCCAGCTCCCCATGTCCCTAATGAGTAGTATCAGTTAAAAAACACTGCTCGAGCAATAGCTAGGATCGACCCAAGGTCAGACAGCTGTTTGGTTTGGGAGTTAGAACTAAATCCAAGATGCTGAACTCCCAGACTTTGAACCTTCTGCTTCCCTGGAAACCTATGAGAACTAGTGCTACCTTCCTGTTGCTCTGCCTCTACCAGGTAGACACAGAGTAGAGATATGAACTAACTGTCATTAATTATTAGAGTTCTTGGGAAACCCTGGAAAAGGTTAACTTTTATGGCTGATTGTGGGGCATCTTAGCATGAAAAAGTCCATCGGGACAGCTCCAAAGTTGTACAGAGGCAAAGGACCTCCATCCCACTTCTGTCTGCACTTGTTATCAGCTCATATAAATAAATGTTTTTATTTTCTTTCATGTCAACTGTCCTGAATCAGTGCTGTGTGCTGTTCTCAAGGGCCCTGGGTGACCACTCAGCGAAATAAGCCAGAAAGAAAAAGAAAAATACTGGATGGTCTCACTCATAGCAGGAATTTAGGAAACCTAAATAAGGGACCAGGAAAAAGACTAGTTGCAATAAAGGAAAAATCAAAATCAACAAGCAGCTATAAACCAGAGACACACTATGGGGGGAGAGAAGAAGGGAGGGATTAGGGTCAAAATAAGGGGGGTGGGAATTGTATGGAGACTATAACCAAGATGAAAATGCAGACATTGTGTAAAAAATGAAAAATGATGTAAAAATTATATAAAATGATATTTAAAGAAATAAAAATAAAAAATTAGGAAAAAGAGAGCATTTACTAGTATTTAATGAATCTGGTGCATCATGGAAGCAGAATCTTTCAAATCACTCTGATGAGTGTGGGAGCTCATGATCTAATCAAATGGATCTTCTACTGAGTACACAGAACAGCTCTTTACACTCAGGACTGAGCTTTCGGGGTAACATCAAAGAAGAGGGCTTTTTCACTAGGGTTCTTCACTACCCAGTCCTCGCAGCCACCATCCCGCCACCTTCCCCCACAAGGAAAAGAATATTTGAAAGTTAAGAGTTTTCTCTGGGTCAAAGTGGCTTTTATCTAAGTGGAAGGTGAAGGTGCAAAAATACTGACTTGGTAGGATGAAGGAATAGGGGAGAAATAAAAGGTGGGTAGGTACACTTGGCTATACATATGCTTCACTTAGTCCTGAGGCAAGAGGAAGGGATCTTTTAAAGATAATTTAGACTCTCTGGGTCAGAGGACAGTGTTTGGACAGAGCTGGTCCTGCCCCCGAGAGAAAGAGGCACGTAAGGAGACTTACTGGTAACCAAAGGCTCAGTACCACCAACTCTTTGGCCAGAACTATCCACATTACAAATCCAGGAAATCCTCAAGTAAGTGGGACACAGAGAAAGGTTAGGAGAGAACACATCTGAGGAAATGTAGCCCGAAAGGCTGTGAAAGTCTTGGCACCCCAATTCCTTCCTATCCATATAAACTGGGCAGGATTTCAAGTCACCCCCAGAACCTGGCTTCCCCACCATGTCCAGTTTGGGTTGCATGGATCCTCTCCCCCAGACTCCCTTGTAGCTCTGACATGGCAGTCCCCAGACTCGGACTTGCCAGCCACCCCTACTTGGTTGATGGATCCCTGCAGACATGAGCATATTGTGTGTCCTCTGGGAAGCAGAGATGCATGGTGCGTTGGACCTACCTTGGGGTTTAGTCTGGCTCCTTGCCCTGTTCCTTCTCTGCTCATACCACTGTCTTTGGTCTACATGGCCCGGACTTTTTGCTCTTTGACAAGGCAGGCAGCTCATCAAATCACCCCTCTTCCTAGTCCAGACTGAGTTATCCTGGTAGCTGCCCCATCCTGCAGAGATGGAGCACAAATCTCCAGTCGCCTCGCTCCTGCTTGCCTGGCAAAATTCTTACTCTGTCTCTGGCTTTCTGCACACATGCCCACATCTATTTTCTGTTATTTTTCAGGTCACTGGGACAAAACTTTTGGTTACCTTGGACAACCAGCCAAAACAATGTAGCTATATTTGCCATATATGCTCAGAAGTACTTGTCCAAATGGACTCATTCTACAACAGAAACTAAGTTTCCTCCCTCAACAGCTGACTCTTAACTCTACTGCCAGCCTTCAACCACCCACTTGATCCAGCCAGGTCCTTGAAGGACACCACGAATGTGGTCCAGGTCCTTAAAGGACACCACCAAAAGAAGAAAAATGACCTCAGAGATTATTTACTTGACCCTGCCACCCAACCCGGACGCCCTTCCGCAGGCTGTGGGACAGGTGGGCAGACAGCTGCCACAACATCGCTACTGCCCTGGTGTTGACAGTACACAGCAGAGAAGGCAGGCCGGAAGGGCTGTCTGTGTTGCTCTCACACACCAGAAACGAACTTGGAACCTGACTATCCTCCCTTTACTCTCACGGGGTTTCCCTTAGAAGTTCACACCATAAAGGACTGGACTGCTTGGTAAACTACAAGGAATCTCACAAATGTATGGTGTCCCTCATGCCAAGCATTCTTCCAAAGTTCATGAGAAAAGCCACATCTCTCTGGTCAAGCCTCTTCCCCTTATCTCATGTCTACTTGCTATCTGGGTGGTAAGGAGCCTGCAGCTACAGGAGTCCAGCAAGTGGAATCTTTCCAGAATGGCTGTAATCTTCCCCTCGGATACCCATGCTTCCGCCCCTCTTTGCCCACTCCAGAGAAGTCACCTGGAGTAGCTTCTGCTGGAGGATGGTGTTATCTCTGGGATCAGTGTGGTTGTCGTGCCGGAACTTGAGGGGACGGTAGACGCAGCACATGGTGAAGCAGACCATATAGAGCACATACAGGGCCCCCAGGGTGCAGAAGTACGGGCGCCCGTATTTGTTCCACTTGAAGCTCACCAGCTGTTTCACTGGGGTCTGCTCCAGGATCTCGCGTGCCTGCCATGGAGGAGAGAAGCTCGGTGTGACTGGCAGAGTGGGGGCGCGGGGTGCCATAAGCTGCACGAGCATCGTTCATCCAGTCAGCCTTGTCCTTACAGGCCACTAGCACATCTCTGCCATGGCCCAGCCCCGGTGCTGCAGGCTAACTATTACAGAAGTAAACACGAGACACTAGAGCACCATCAAGAAGCAGGGGGTAGCTGCGTGGAGGGAGGGTAAGGGAAGCTCATTTTGAGATAAAGCAGCAGTTGCCAGGGCAGGGAGACACTTGCAGTCATTTGCAGGTGGGTGTGGTTTGGGGTACCTTTCGGGGGTATGGTGGGCAGGAGGTGTACTGGGTAAAGCAGATGAGGGCTAGATCATTCTATGGCATGAATGTTAGGGTAGGAAGTTTGAATTTCTTTTCCAAATGCCATGGAGGCAACTGGGAGTTACACGCAAGGAAGCAGCCAGTTTTCTTCTAGAACTGTGCACTAGAGAGGAGCAGCAGAGGCCACAGGTAGCTCGATGTGGCCATAGTCAAAGCCAGATGGGTTGGTGAGAGGTAAAGATCCAAATGAGAGAGGGTGGGATGAGGCATCTAAGAAAGTAGAAAAGGACACATTCAAAAACACACTGCAAGGATGAACCATCAGCAAGAAGAGTATCTTTTCCACGGGCCCCAGAAGGAAGGCCAAGGACAGCAGGCAGTGGGCAGATGCTTGCGAGAGCAGGAAGTTGAAAGTGCTCCAGCCAGGGAGTCTGTTGTTGCCATAACATAGGAGTCTTGGTCTTCTGGTGGAACAAAGAACAAGAGCAGTGAGGGAGACAGCGGTAGAGAGGAATTCTGATGGAATAGAAAAGGACTTGAACCAAGAAAGAATAAGTCTGTAGGCGAATGTTGGGAGCTAACTGGATCAGAGCTAAGGTTTGCTGGGAGCAATATCCACACAGATGGTCTGCTCTCATTCCTAAGAAATCCTGCTCAAACGTTGTCTACTTCCAGTCATACTTTCTGAGGAAGTCACTGGATCAATTTCTTCCAGTCAAACTACCTATAGTCTGAGTTTAATGGCTCTCTAAGAGCTTCTGGGAAATTGTCGTGGGCAGATAAAGGGCAGACATGATACCTTGCCGCTCCTTTGGAGGTTCCTGAAAGCTGAGAGCACTTTTCTCTCTCCCACAGTCTGTGCAAGTTTTCTTTCCCTTCAATTCAGTGCTGTCTGCCTGATCTGTGGGTTCTTCCCTCTGGCAAACTCTTTCTCCTCCTTGCCCCGTGATTCCCAGCTACACCTTGGAGACCCAGCTCAAGCACTTCCTCTGAGACATCTTCTTCTACCCATCCGAGTCAGGTCAACTCAACCTCAAGTTGGCAGACACTGCAGAGCACAGACACTGCAGAGCACAGTGTAAAGGGACTGGAAGTGGGGGAAGTTGATGGACAGGAACTGTGTTTTATTTATTTCCATATTCTGAGTTCCTTGTCTAGCAGGTGCTCAGTATGTTAAATGGGTGGATGGATGGCTGGGTGGATGGCTGGGTGGATGATTGGATGGTTACTAGAAACTTCTATATGGAGAGTTCCTCACTAAAATGTTAGTATGAGTGAGGTCAGCCGAAGAGACTAGGGTTAAGCAGAGGGATAACATAGTGAGGAAAGGGGTATACATTGGGCTTTTCTCCCAAAGCCCCCCGGGGTCTGTCTTCATCTCCATCTATTACAAACCCAGGATCTCAGTAGATGGGGAGGCTATGCCCAGACCCCTAGCAGCCCCTGATTCTCTGCATCATCATACCTCCCGCTTCTTGGAGGAGACCACGAGTTCCAGAAAGGACACCTCCTCTCCCCAAGAGTCGATCTCCGTGAGGTCGTAGAGCGTGGAGGTCAGTGGCCCGTAAGTCCACTGGATGTGCTTCCGCCTCTGCATCAGGTGCTGGAACATCTGGGAGAACACAGCGCTGAGTGGGATGGTCATATGTGAGGGGCTGGTCAGGGACACCCCCCTGAAGAGGGTTGCTACCCACATTGGGGCTGAAGGACATTCTGTGATTAGCGAGCTCTATTTATATAAACCTCCTCCTACACCTCCCCCACCCCCACACACACACATCATTATCTTTCCCTCCACAGACTCTATAAAGATCTGAAAGAAAGGAATGGGCAAAGGGAGAAGAACTTTGGATTACCAGAACAGATAGTCTACAGCTGGGCTCCCAAATCCTCCTAAGTCAGTGATTCTCAAGGCTGAGAATCTTAGGGGAGCAGGAAGTAAGGGTCCCCCACCCTTTGGGTGAATTTGAGAAGGGTCATCAGCAGGCCCAGGAGGGAGGTGGCCACTCACCACGGTGTTGCCCTCCACCCCGGCCAGCTTGAAGGGGGTGAGGCCCTGGTGGTTGGGCACCAGCTCCAGGGACTGCAGGTGGTCCCCGCGCCCGTCGTAGGACAGCAACAGGCTGTACATCTGGCAGGCGAAGGTCTTGTTGGGTTGGAGGATGAGGAGGTGCAGCACCGTGTTTCCTGGGGGGCGCGGGGGCACGTGACCATGGGCCTGAGGTCCCTGAAACCCACAGGGGGCTCCCCAGGCCCAGGCTGCTGGCCCCACCCTCCCTAGCCCCCCGGCCCTCCCCCACCGCAGCCTCACCCAGGGCGTCCTGGGCGCGGATGTCAGCTCCGTGCTCGATGAGCAGCCGCACAATCTCCTCGTTGCCCACGCAGGCAGCAAAGGACAGAGGGTGCTCCCCTGGGGGACGAGGGGCCGTGGCCTGAGAGCCAGGACCCCAGGGCAGACCCCAGGGCTGGCCTCCCCCCCCCCCCCTCAGCTCTGGGTCGGCACAGCCAGAGGCAGGGACGGGGGTTGGTGGGGGGCGGCTCTGGCCTCTGGCCATCACCCTTGTGTGGGCTGACCCCAGGCCTTTCCCATCCTCCCAGGCGTGGAGCCCCCCTCTGCCCCCAGCCCTGGGCCTGGCGCTCACCGAAGTAGATGAGGTTGCGGGGGCTGTAGTGGAAGGCCAAGCCCGTGGCTCTGGCGGAGACGCTGGCCCCATGGGCGAGCAGGGCTCGCACCAAGTTCACATTCTGGTTCACAATGGCTATGTGCAGGGCGGTCTGGCCTGGCCCGAGAGACCCTCGTCAGGGCTCCGTCCCCCATTCTCTCAGGGACACAACATCCCCCTGGCTTGCAGGAGGGGGTCCCTGCGTGACCCGTGAGTTGATTTCTGCCCGGGGCCCAGCAGCATGGGCTCAGGTGGTCCCTCAGGTTGTCCGCTTCCTCTCGGCTGGGGGGCAGGGGGTGTATATGTGGGCACTCTAGGGTCCCTGAGCAGGAAATCGACTTGTGTCTTCGGCGAGCATGGGATGGTTGGGAAGGAAATAACAAATGACTCGTGGAAGTCGTGAGAGCTGAACACCAAGACCAGACTTGGGCATCTCAAGGGAGACCTTCCCCATCCCGCCTCCGCACACGCCGTGAGAGAGGCCATCCGCCCTCCCGCGTCTGTCCCAACTTGCCTTCCGTGCAGCGCCTCACCTACAAATGGCTCGCACGTGGTGGGCTCCTTGACGAGCTGCGGGGCCGCCTCCATCAGCACCAGGGCGGCCTCCAGGTTGTCATAGAGCGCTGCGATGTGCAGGGCCGTCTCCCCCAGGGCCCCTGGAGTGGAGGAGATGGGGCATCAGCTCCTCCCAGAGTCCCTGCAGGGACGCCCGTGGCCCTGTGCAGACACCCTGGGGCCTGGGGCCCGAGGCGGGCGCTCCTGCCCTCTCTCCCAGTTAAATGCTCAGCCCACCTCTCTGCCGAAAGTCACAGGTTCGGTCAAGCAGAAGCTTCTTCAGGACACACAGGTCATTGTCCTTGGCCGCACGGAGCAGTGGAGACTCTCGAATACTGGGAGGGAACAGGAGCAGGTAGAGACAGCGTGTCAGAGAGGCCGCGGGCAGAGACGGGAGCCGTCCCCTGGCCGGGACAGACGCGAGTCACGCCCCGTGTGCATGGGAAGCGCCGTGTCCTGGAATCCAGCTGAGGTCCCGTCTGCCTCAGGCTTCCAGCAAGCTCTTAGCAAGGCGGGGAGCGTGGCTCAGCTGGGTGGGGGCTCAACAGCCTGCAGCACACCGAGGGAGGTGGGCTGGGGTGTGCAATGGGTGGTCCCGAGAGGAGGCCATCAAGCCTGGTTGAACCAGCCTCTGCTGAGTGAAAGGTTCAGGAACCTGAGGAGTCGGGCAGGTGAACAGAGGAAAATTCTACTGAGATTTTCATCCCTGCTCTCAGGCCGGCTGAACCGGCTCCTTAGCCAAGGGGAATTTGGGGAAAGACCACAGCTGTTCAGAGGGAGACTTGTGGCATGACTGGGCTTTAACTTAGGACTCTGGGCTGTTTAGACATGCAGCGTTCTGTGTGTGCGTGCATGTGTGTGCGCGTGCGTGTGCTGGGGGGTTCTTTTCTCTGCTTTCTCTGGGAACCGAGCCCTTAGAGCAGGAGAATACCTTTCCTACAGTTCCTCTGGGGGTTAACGGGCCCCCAAGCTGGATGACCCCAAGGAGAGAAAGCCGACCCTCCTGGGCAAGGGTGCGTGGCTCCGCAGGCGAACACAGGGCCGCGTCAGGTTGAGGGTCATGAGGGAGAGATGAAGGGCTGACATTCCCGTCATGTCCCCCCGGCACCCCTATTTCTCCTCTCTTCTAATGACCTCACGGGAGGGGGCAGGAGAGACAAGTTTTATTTAAATTAAGACACTTTCACTCTGAAGGCAGAGCCCTTTAGGGAGGGGGTCTCGGGCGAGACCAGCAGGGGGGCACCTTGGCACACCAGGCCCCCAGCCCAGGACAGGCTCTCCTCTCTCACCCCCACCTCCTGGCCTTAGTCCTATCCTAAAATTGGGAGGGATGTGGGAGGTCACAGGTCTCACTGCAGGGGCCTGGGATGGGGGTGGGCAAGCCAGCAAGAGTCTTTCCAGAATGAAGACTCAGACTGCACCCAGGGTGAACTGCACAATTGTGGAGGCCCAGTGCAAAGTGAAAATGCAGAGCCCCTCGTTCAAAATTATTGCTCAAAAGCTACTGAGACTTTCCATATGATGGCAGTGGCGCATGAAATCAAGCACAGGACTGCTCCGAAGCCGGGGCTCTGGCAGCCTCCTGCCTTGCAGCCAGCCCCAGCTGAACCCCCGATCTGCCCAGGCAGTTCTCACATAGGAGACAAGTCCCCTAAAACAGTCCGAGGAAAAGGCCTGCCTTCAGGAGGAGTCCCTGCCTCAGCTGCTTCTCCACTGCCTGGACTTGGGGGTCAGCCAGGATGTGATGCTCTGGGGGCGCCCACTGCCCATGAGCAGAAGTATCCCGCGGGCAGGCCTGGGCCTTCTCCAACTGGAGCCTCCTTCCTCGCACTCCCTATACACAGGACACACTCAACAGAAGATGGAGGAACTGAAGTGAGGATTCCCCAATATCCCCGGGGCTTCCCTCCTCAGGTGTCACCCCAAACCAAGCTCTGCTCCCCGTTATCAGTCAGCTTCCCTTTGTGCTGAGGGTGATTCTTCTTTCTCCCACCAACAGCTTCTAAAACCCACAAGACTTCATTCCTTTCCCAGCAGCTTGCTCCCCACCTTCCTGTCTCCACCCCCGCACACCCTGGCTTCTTCTCTCTGGTCCTTTTGGGGCCCCTGATCCCCCCTTCTATCAAGCAGACAGGCGAGAGACTTGGTACCATTCTGTGCCTGCGCCCATCTCCAGTCAGGGCCCCCTGGGTCCAATGCATTCCACACAAAGAGGGGCACCTGGGGTTTTGTAACTGGAGGGTTAGGAGGGAAGAGTCCCTTCCAGTGCCAGGTGCTGGATTCTGGGTGCCAAGAATGCGGGGACCAGGCGGGATGCCGTGGCTGGGCCCTACCTCTTCTGCTGTAGCATGTGGACCTCATCCAGGCGCTGGTCCCAGTCTTGCTCTCGGGCCAGCCAGGCGGTCAGCAGTCTCTGGAGCTGCAGCCAGGGCCCCTTGGCCTTGCACGGAGGAGCCCCCATGTCGTCTCCTTCCAGGCACCGGCAGGTTATGGAATGTGGTGAAAGGAGCAGGTCCAGGACTCAGAAGCAGCTCGGAGGGGCGGGGTCTGTTTGCGGCCGACTGAGAGTGAGAGTATCTCCTTGTGACCTGTGTGCAGGGTGCGGCTTGTCGCTGTGGGGTGTGTGGGGGTGGGTACCGGGTTGTGTGTGCATCTGTGTGTATGCTGAGGGGAGCGTGCACTTGCCCCGAGGGGCTGCTCCCTGCCAGGACAGTGGCAGCCACTTACCTGCAGAGGAGGAGCTCTTTCCAGGGTCTCAGTCCCGACCTGGAGCCTGCCAAGGGAGGGGACTGTGCAGGCAGTTGGGGGCGGGGGCAGAGGAAGCTGGGGAGGGGAGTGAGGGTAGAGCTTGAAAGGTGTCCCACAAACAAGGTAAGGGTTAGTGGGGTGCAGGAGAGAAGGAAGGGGAACCCCTCTCTGCTTTGCAGTCAGGGCCTCCTGGGTTGAATGCTGGCGCTCAGCCTTGACACATCAGGGAGGTGATGCAGGGAGTAACTGTCGTGAGCCTGACCCCAAAAGCTCACAACTGCTGTGTCTCCTTCCTGGGCTCCAACCCCCCGCCACCCCACTGCTTCTCTGAGTCATAATCAGCTCTGCCCTCAACCCCGCAGCCCCATCTCAGAGGCTGTCCTCAACCTCTCTCCTCAGGACCCCCGCACTGATTTCTCTTCCCTGCAGCTCCTTGGAGCCCCCCAGAAAGGAGATCCCCAGGTAGGAAGCTAGGGACCTAGCAGAGGTGCAGGATGTGGAAAGCCATGCTTGGAAGCCCCCCTGGGAATGAGCCAGCAGAAGAATGAGCGGGAAATTAAGGCAGCCGGGAGTTATTTTATTCTGACAGCTTCCATTTATCTCCCCAACTGTCCAAAAGCCTAGACACAGCATTGAGCTGAAGCCCTTCTAAGACAGATGGGGCAGACAGGGAGAGGGTAGGGGCATCTGCTTTCTGCAGGAGACAGGAGGGAGAGCGGGTGATGACCAGGGTGGGCGGCAGGCTGGAACCGGCTGGTGAGTGGAAACTTAGCTCCAAACCGCATGACAGACTGTGGCTTCTTGGAACCTTCTGCCTAGAAAGATGTAAGACTTGGGTGGAGAGACACTGAGATCTGGCCCAGTGGGAGGGGGCTCTTTAGAAGCAGGGACCCCCCCGCTTCTTTTGCTGTAAGATGGAGCTTCTCGAGAGATGAAGATGGCCAAAACAACCTCTGGAGGACAGAGCTTCTGAGACCAGGAGGAGCCCTGCTCTCCCGGGGCCGTGGGGAGATGCAGGCTGGGACATGGGAGGGTCACCTTGGGGGACATTGTTCTGCTTTGCTGGAGGTTGGGGCCAGTGTGGGGTGGTAATGGCCTCTGAAGGCTTGGGACTTCCAGTGCAAGGAGATGGAGGGCGTGATAAGGGTGAGGTGGGGGTTGTAGATGGGCTGATAAGCAGCAGCCAAGGAAAGGAGCACCTGGCGAGGAAATGCTCAGCCCATGAAGCAAATCCCGGAGGGGGTGGGGCGGGAGGGGCCGGCAGGAGGCTGGTCAGAGCCGCACACAGCAGGTGGCGGGGGGCTGGCCAGCCGGGCCTGGGCCTGGGCCTTGGGTCGGGGAGGAGGTCTCTGGGGCGCCACTCACTTGCCTTCTCTGCCCTTGGTGCCCTCACGATGGAAGGCGCAAGGGCAAGGAGCCCGAGAGGGGTGAGTGGTGCCCCTGTCCCATTAGAAACTCCTTGTCCCCTTAGAAACTCCTTCTCGGGGGTCTTCCCGTGAGTCCTTCCTTCTCCTCGCCGCTGGCTCTGCCCCATCACTCCTTCACCTGGGCGATGTTGGGCGCCATCCCCCATGACGCCTTTCTCTTCAGTCCAGTGTCCGCGCTCCGCGTCCAGGTCGCCAACAGCCTCTCCCCGGGCGCAGCGTCCACGAGAGCCCGGCCTGCGGGTCGTCTCTCCGGGTGCCCTCGCGGCCCGACGCCGGCAGTTCCCCAGGCCCTGGGCGCCTCGGCAGGAGCTGCCTCTCTGATCTGATAAGGAGGAAGCAGGCAGTCCCTGCATTTCCATGTTTCGAAGAGGCTCTCCGCCACGTGCCCCCAGCCGTCTGGGGAAAGGACTGGAAGACAGACTTTAAACTCGAAGGGGGATGACCGCTGGGTGGTGGAATTCATCGCCCCTTTCGTTTTTTGTGCTTTTCTGAATTCCACATGCTGGAACGAGGAGAAGGAATGCCCAGCGGCGTCCCGGTGTCACGCCAGGACTCCTGTCAGCACGGGGGTCGGGCAGGGGAGCGGTGAGGGGCTGGATGTGGTGGTGGTCAGCACGACCCGGTTCTCCCCACTCCATCCTGCCCCTGGAAGACACTCCCTCCCAGCACCCCGCCCCCTCCATACTCGGAGGGCTGAGATGGAGCCCAAGCTCCTCCTCCAAATCAGCCTGGAGGAGAGGAGCGATTTTTCCTCCCCCAAGCATCGTCTTGGAACGGCAGGTCAGCGAGTACAAGAGAGGGGTGAGCGGGGTCACCTGTCTGCCTGACCCCTTCCTCCTCCCTCACATCCACTGACCTTCTGTGCTACTCCCCAGTCACCTTGTTACCTGGCTTAGAGCCCCAGGAAGCAGAGGAGAGGCAGGTTGTTGCCTACAAGACGGCCTCTGGGTCACCCAGTCTGCCAGCATGGGTGAGGTCTGTGGGAGGGGATCTCCACATCTCACATCACTTCGATTCCAGGAAGACGCATGCCCGTGCCCTGCAGGGTGGGGTCCATCCCGGTGTGCCAAGCAGGGGCGCAGGGGTGGGGGAGCTGCTCCAAGACCTCTGCTTTCCTCCTGTCCCAGCACCAGAGCTGCGCCCGTGGCTGGTGTCTGCCCCTGGTTTTCCAGGGCAGGCCTGCACCGCCCCCAACCCCTGTGCCCGCTCCAGGAAGGATGGCAATTAGCCACAGCCCATTAGTGCCAACAGGTCTGTGCTCACTGGGTTCGCAGGCAGGGCAGGCTTCTGGGCATAGAGGCAGGGTTCTTTGGGACCCTGACCTCGGTGCCAAGCGTGCTTCTCCACAGGCTCCCCAGCAGGGAGTCCAGATAACGAACCTTGAATAATTTTGTCTCTGTGTCTTACAGTCCAGAAGGACATAAAATGAGAGAGAGTTTCAATCAGTCTCTCAGTACAGAGGCCAAAGCCTGGCGAACCGGAGAGTCGGGGGAGGATGAGGATGGAAACGTGGTTTCTATTTGGGTGCAGGAAACCCTGCCCTGTCTGTCCTGTCTGGGTCCCACACAGCATGGACCCTATGCTCACCTTTCACCTGTCTCCGCCACCCTTGTGCGTGACGGTGGGCCTGCATGTCATGTCCCGCCCAGGGCACCTTCCCACGAGAAAGGCTGCGTGGGGCAGGAGGAAGATGTGCGCATTTGGGTGGGGAGTTAATCTAGAGCCCTGCTCTGTCCCTTACTCCTGGGTGACCTTGAGTGGGGCGTCCTCTCCTTTGGGCACCCCAGCTTCTCATCTACGCAATGGTCATGCTAACACGATGCCGTCGCGTCTTAGGAGCTCTGTGGATCTACTGATGTGCTGGAAGCACAAGTCCTTCGTAGGTTCCTGAGCCACTTCGCTGATCTCCAGAGATGACCCTGTCGGGTGCTCCAAGGAGCCCCTTCTGTCCTTGCTGGCCCCCCTCTGCCCTCTTGCTTGGCCATAGAGCTCTCCAGGGAGCTGGAATGAGGGCCTGGCCCATGGCTGTGATGTCATAGAGCTCCTGAAGTCAGAGGAAGGGAAGAAAACGGTGCTGGGTGGGGGGAAGGGCTGGGAGAGGCCCAGGGAAGGAGGTGAGGTGTGGGAGCCTGCTGGGCACGGGGCACAGGGAGGCCAGAAGCAGTGGACGGGCAGGCCCATGACTTCCCTGGGTGCCCAGCTCTGCCGGGCAGCGTTCCTGACGGCCATCTTGCTACTGCTGAGGACGAAGGGGGTGAAACTTCAGAAGGGGGACTCAGACCCCGATGAGAGGAGTCAGAAAGAAAAAATACCCTCCATAGGTAGGTAGAGAAGCAGGGACAGGGTTGGGGCTCGGGATCGACCTCTTTGGAGGCAGGCCCCGGGTGACTTACTGGGTCAGGGTGAAATGTGACATGGGTGTGGGGCGTGGGAGAGATCCCAGGCCCTGTAGTGTGAGACTGTGGTGTGAAGGTGCCATGGAGAGGGGTCTGGGGCAGGGGTTCCTAGCCAGGGGCAGACTGGGGAGGGGGGCCTATCATCACCAAGCTGACACTGCAGGGGGCTTTCATGGGGAGAAGCAGAAGAGAGTCTGCACTTCTCCGGAAGAGGGTCTTCGGTTTTTATCATTCTCTATAGTGGTTCCTCGCCCCACTTGGTGTACTATGGTGGAGGAGGCAGTTGAGTGGAAATGGGGGGTTGTGCACTTGTGTGGGGGCCATGAACGGCAAATCAGAAGAGCCCTCAGATGGATCGTCACCTCTGTCACCAGCACCTCCAGCCGAGGACAAGTGTGGGGGTCATGGAACTGAACTTCCCCAGTTCTCTCTTCCCCCCTTTCCAGGTCAGGCCAAGGGCGGGTGGGTATGGTCAGGGTTGTGCCTTCTGCCCTTCCACTCTCCCTGTCCCAGACCAGGAGCAGGAGCCGGAGCCGGAGCAGAAGCAGGAGCAGGATCAGGAGCAGAAGCAGGAGCAGGATCAGGACCAGAAGCAGGAGCAGGATCAGGACCAGAAGCAGGATCAGGAGCAGAATCAGGAGCAGGATCAGGAGCAGAAGCAGGACGAGGAGCAGAAGCAGGAGCCGGAGACAGAGATGGAGCCGGAGACAGAGACAGAGCCAGAGCTGGAGCAGATTCAGGAGTCAGAGCAGAACCAGGAGCTGGAGCCGGAGCAGAATCAGGAGCAGGTGCTGGAGAAGGATCAGGAGCCAGAGCAGGAGCTGGAGAAGGATCAGGAGCCAGAGCAGGAGCCGGAGAAGAATCAGGAGCCAGAGCAGGAGCCGGAGAAGAATCAGGAGCCAGAGCAGGAGAGGGAGGAGGAGCAAGGGCAGGATCAGGATCAGGAGCAGGAGCCGGCGCAGGAGCCAGAGCAGGAGCAGGTACTGGAGCTGGCGCAGGAGCGGGAGCAGGAGCGGAAGCAGAAGCCGGAGCAACTGGAAGACAACTTCGTGGCCTCCTCTGTGGGCGAGCAGTGGGAGCAGGTGGACATGGCCCAGCAGGAGACATCCGAGACAGCAGCCGTCCGCCACCACCTGTTTGACCTGGCCTTCTGTTTTAATCTGGCCAGCATCATGGTTTTTTTATGAGGGACGTGGAAGCTGAGGTGGTGGCCTGGTTCCTGGACGAGGACCTGGATGTCTACCTCCGCTTCATGATCGCGTACTGACCCTCTCCCACGATTCCAGGCCTCCCCCTCCCGGGGAGCGCAGACCTAGCTTCCTGCGCCCACCTGGGCCCTTCCCTGCAGCCCACAGCCTCCTAGAAGGCCTGGTCCGGTCACGCAGTGGCCAGTCGCCTGCGCCTGGTGGCCTCCCCTGCTCTGAGCGTCCTCTCCCAGGTCAGAGAGACCAGCCCCTTGGCCTGCTCCCTCCTGGTCTCTCCTGGCTTTGTTCAGGACAGCAGATTAGAGGGAGGAGACAGTAACAATAAAAGTAATAGCAATAAAATCTCAGGACAATCGGGGGCAGCTTTCCGAGACGCAGCAAGAGCCCTTGCTAGCTCCTCTGTTTAACCGCCAGACCTTTGCCCCACTGACCTTTAGACCCACCGGCTCCTTCCTCTCCCGGCGTCCGGGGACTCTGGCTGTTCCTTTTCTGACTTCCAGGCACTGAACTCAGCAGCCAAGTGTAGTGAGACACAGGCAGAAGCCAAGTGCCAGCTTTTATTTTCAGAGCGGAGAGGGAAAGGAGGGCCACATCACCCCACTTCCCACACAGGCAGGCGGGCGCTGATGCTCTGTCCGGTCCTCTCTGGCGGCCGTCACCAGAGTTGGCAGTGGTCAGAGGGGTTCAAGGGGGTGCCCCGTGGGCAGCGGAAATGTCTGGCAAAGGCTGGGGTGTTGCTGAGGGGCCCGTGGACCCGAAGGGCGGGAGGGCTGTGGGTGTCCTGGGCAGCCTGGCTGCCCGGCGCCCGGCACATCACCTGGGGGGAGAGGCGCAGCGGGGTAAGGAGAAGCGTCCTGAGAGTGACCGGGGCCAGGGGCGAGGCAGGCTGGTGGCTGGGTGGTGCCGAGGGCCAGCAGACAAAGACGGGCGCGGGGAGGAATGTTCCAAGGGCCGTGCACAGAGGGAAGTGGATCTGCCTCGTGTAGACCATTGATCAGGGAGTGGATGTCTGGCACTGCGGGGCGGGGGGCGGGGGGCTGCAGTGCAGTCACACCATTTGTAAGTGACTCAGGAGCAGGGTCCCACTGGAAGATCTCTGTGAGGAGGCTCTTTGGAGAAACTAGGGGTGTATCTGTTGAGGGAGCACATGGTACTTAGGGGGGTTATGTCAAGTGGAGGCCACACCTGGGTGTGAGGCCTCTGACCAGGAATGTGGACTATAGACAGGCTGTGAAGCCTTGTTTGAAGGGGTGTGCATTCCCAGGAAAGAGATGAGAGTGGGCCAGTCACAGACTGGTTGGGGGGGGGGGCGTCATGGACTGGCTGATGCTGCAGGTGGCTTCTGTGCACGTGGGCACACTTGCCTGGGAAGAGGTTTTCATCCTTCTCTAGGGGCCTGTGGGAACAGAGTGTTTCTTCCAAAGAGGAGCTGAAGGTAGAAGGATTTGTAGTCATATGAAAGGACTGTCCCTAGGGGCAGAGGTGAGAGGGGGCAGTGGGGATGTCTGTGCAGAGAGCTGGGGGGTCCAGAGGAAGGTATGTCGGGGGGCAGAGATTCTTTGAGCATTACCAGAGGGTATTTATCTGACACGCAGCCGTGGCGCGAGGTTGCCTACCTGGGCATAGCTGTGGAAAAAGAGTTGCTGGGGACTGAGGTCCAGGTCCGGCAGGGTGGTCTCCCCACGGTGCCCAAGCAGTCTCTTGCTGTAGGCCTGAAGAGGGGAGTGGAGAGGGAGCTTGAGGATCCAGATTGGGGCCATCGCGAGTTTGAGCCCAGACAGACACCGCAAAGCAGACATGGCCTTTCTCCCAACGTCTGCCTGGACACACCGAGCCAGGAGAAAACGTACTTGTCAGAGGATCTAAGGATGTCCTAGGAAAGAGGGGTCTGGGGGTGGCAAGGAAACTCCACTGGAGGATATGAAGACCAGGAAGCCTGGCAACTATGTCTGAGGGATGGAGAAATGAGGGACAGGGAGTCTGGTCTGCTGGGAAAATCAGGTCCTGGCCCTGGGGTGAGCTACCTGCTGCGCGATGGCCAGCGCCCCCACATCCACCGCGTTCTCCAGGAAGGTGCGGGAGCCGCCGAGGGCTGCTCCGCCTGGCGATGGGAAGGCTGCATAGAGACGCTCCAGGCACAGCTGTGCCCCTCGTAGGGCCTGGGAGTCACAGGCCGGGCAGCCCCCTGGCAGCACTGTGGAAAACGGGGGTCAGGGAAGCAGAAGGTGATGCCTGGTGCAGGGTGAGGACAGGGGGTGCCCCTCTGCATTGGCTCCCAGAAGCGTGGCAGAGGTGCCAGGGCCACCTGCGCCCCAGAGCCCTCAAATAACCTCCATCCCCCATCTAGCTTCAGGGCCTCCACCCAGGTCCCCAAGGGCCCCTCTCCTGACGCCCACTGTTACCCACAGAGCTGGGTGAAGATGTGCAACAGCTCGTGGGCCATAATGCTGCCGGCAGTGCCGAAGTTCACAGCCCTAGAGAGACAAGGGCTTGTCTGACCCCCGGGCTCCATCAACTCCCCATCCGCAAGTCCCCATCCTTCCAGAAAATGTCCGTCGCCCTCGGGGATGCTGCCCCCCCCGACCAGAGCCCCATACCTGGGGTAGCTGGGGTGGAAGAACGGGGGCTGGAGGAGTCCAGCTGGGAACACCACCACGTGGTCAGCGGTGGAGTAGTAGGCGCTGGCCTCCCAGGGGGACACCTGCCAGCTGCGGGCAGAGCACGGGTGGCACATCAGCCCCTCATCCGGTCCACACCAGACACAGCAGCCCCTCCCAAGTCCTGTCACCGCGCCCCACTCCTGAACCCCGTGTTCCATCCCCCTGGCTCATACCTGTGGTGGGAAGGCTGCAGGAAGCGCCGGACATTTCTAGCTCGGAGGGATCGGGCGCAGCTCAGGACAGACTGCAGGAAGCTGGGTCCGAGTTGGATCTGGGAGGAGGCAGGGGTGACTCGGGAACACAGAGACAAAGCTGGATGCACACTAACCCCCCGGGGGGCATGCTGCTAGCCACCCAGGAAAGCCATGGCGCAGACACCAGCACACGCCGACACCACCCTCCCCATCAGCGCAGGCACACACACACACGCACACACACATACACACGCACGCGCACCCCCCCCCCCCCACACACACACACACACGCAGGCGAGTCCCAAGGGGGCAGGAGTGCCTGTGTGACCAAAAAGCTTCCCGTCTTCCGCCAGGAAGACCCTCTGAGCGGACATGTTCCCGGGCAGCCCCAGCACCAGGGCAAGGAAGGGGTGGCGGGCAGCCCAGGGCGCAGGCGGCTGTGGCGGGAGGAGAAGGGGAGCCCTGAGGAGGAGCGGCCAGGGGACCCACATCCGCATATTCCTGTCTGGCCAGCTCTGGCTTCAGGGCCCATTTGGGGGCTCCCATCTCCACCTGCAGGCGGGACACCTGGGGAGAGAGGCAAACCGTGGAAGGAGACTAGCCGAGTCTGGGGCGTTTCTCCTGCTCACCGCCCGGTCCCAGGCCTTTCTGTGGCCCCCAGGGGCGAGCGCGGAAGGGGTGCGCACCCTCTCTCTGCGCGCCTGAGCATCTTGGGCTCTCCCCCTGCCGGGCCATCTCTCCACCCAGTCCCCCCCCTTCCTTCCCCCTCCCCCCTGGCTGGCCCTTGGCCTCACCCTGTCCTGGGCATCTTCCCGGGTCTGCTCATCCATCCAGGGGAGCCTTCTGAGGCGCGTGATGAAAGCGTCCTTGATGGCAGCAAATAATTCCATGGCCTGTGGGTGGGAGGGTGCAGACAGAGGGCAGCAGGATCAGCCTCCGTCTTGGGCCCTGTCCAGGGGGCTTCTGGGAAGGGGTCTTGACCAGAGACCGGGAAAGATCTCAGAGAGAGAGAGAGAAAGTGGAAAGCGCTATTTCCCAGGTGACCAAAACCCTCCGGAAGGTCCAAAGATGCTTGGAGACAGAAAGGAGGCGCCATGGGGACACTGCTCCTCCCCCTGGGGGATCGCAGCCAGCGGGGGAGGCAGGAGGCCACTCGGCCAGAGGGAGCAGGGAGCATCTTCCCTTCTCTGCTCTCCTGCGCCCTGTGCTCACGCCTCAAGGCAAGCACGTCTCTCCATCTTCGTGGGAGCTTCAGCTTCCGACGAGCTGAGGTCTTCCGGGCTTTCTGTCCTGACTGTGCGGGCCCGTGCTCCCAGCCTCTACCCTCTGGTCTAAATGCGTTCAATGCAGGAACCTATGAAGAGGCTGAGTTCGAATGCAGACTCTGCCATGTGGCACCCGTGTGACTTTGGGCCAGTTCCTTAACCTCCCTGTGCCTCGGTGCTCGAAGCAGTTCACGCGCAGCGCGCACAGGAGCATCGGGTGCAGGGTAGGCACTCACAAAGTATTCGGTAGTTATTTATTTGCACTTTTTAAGATGGTATCACTCCATTCTCACATCGTTTCATGTGTTGTTAAAAATATCAGAGATAAACAGGGCGCAGCCTTGAAGGTCCCCGAGTTCAATTTTCTCATTTTATGGTTGAAGAAACACAAGACCAGGAGGGTTGGGAGACTTGGCCGCGATATTAATGTTATGCACAAGATGTGTCCTGAAGCCACTCTCCCTCCTCCCTCCGCCCCCCACCTCCTCTCCCTGCCCTCCTCCCTCATTTTCTCTCCCCCTCCCTCTGTCTCCCCCTTGCTCTCTCTTCTCTCTTCTCTCTCTCTCTCTGTCTTATTTCCTAACCACGTACACCATCAAGAAAGACAAAGCCAAGAGCAGGGGCGGAGGGAGTGGGTGGGGAGCATCTCACATACAGCACTTTGGGTGCTCGGGCTGAAGGCCTCACGGACAAACAAGGCCGCCAGCGTCGGCCTGAAGAAGGTTCCAGTCTTCTCCACACACTCCAGCCATCGAGGGCGGGTGGGCTACAAGATAAGGCTGGAGTCAGTGTCTCCCTCAGGGTTCTTTCTCTCTTTTCTCCTGCCTAATATTGTCTGGACCTTTTCTGAGCCTCTGAGGTGCATCTCACTTTGTTATCCTTGTGGGTGAGGCAGAAGGTGCTCTGTCCATTCTCTTCCTTGTGAGTCTGGCCTGGGCGAATCATCCAAGTTTACTGCCTTTGAATTGGAAGTGAGGCCTCTGGACAGCTGCCTGTGGGGAACTGCAAGGCCCTTGAGGGCTAGCGATGAACACCTCACCTCAGCAGGTGTGTTGGTCACCTGTCCTCATGCCCTCCCAGCTCTCTTAGCCCCTCTCCACCCCCTGCATCTAGTCCACTAAAGAGTCCCACTCTCCCAGCTTTGCTCACATGGAAATGGGAGTCATTTCTGAATGACTATTGCAGATTATATTGTAGGCTCTTGCGTTATCAGAGTGAAATGGAGTTTGAGAAGCCATATTTCGGCAGAAGAGGACACAAGAAAAGACTACACTATACAAATTCAGAGTGCTGAAAAACTTTAGTCAAATTAGAGATGAGAAAGTAGGTTAAGATGGTGGAGGTCTTCAAACGCAGAGGTGCAGAGACGGCTAGATAGACAGTGAAGAGGTCCCCGGCACCTGGGGAGTTTGTGTCAGCAGGAAGTAAAGAGGGAGGAGCTCAGGCTCTTTCAGGGCTGAAAGGTGGGCTTGGGTGGCTTTGAAGGCTGACCAAGGTGCAGAGATGACCCAGGACCCACCAAGACAAGTGTCCGAGGGGCTGGGGTCCGGAGTAGGAGAGCTGGCCCAAGGGAAAGTCAAGCTGGGATTTAAGAAAAACCCACTAAAATGCTAATTTGGGCTGAGTGGGATGAAGTCACAAGACTTCATTCCTGTAACTCATTTACTCCCCCAGGTTTCCTTGCTGGCCAGCGGGCCGCAGCACACTCACTGGCCCTGAGAGGGGAGAGGTTGATGGAAGCCAAGGCCTGTGTTACGTGTGGCTCTGGGAGGAGCCACCCATGAGCACTGGTGTCATTTTGCTTCAGGCCTGGTTCTTCACATCTGTGGGCTCTTGTTCTCTGACCAGGCCTCCGTGTAAACCACACTGTTTTTGGAGTTCTGGAAATGCAAATGCGAACTAGAAGGAAACCTGGGCCTGTGAGCCATGAGGGGTCAGTGAGGGCTCTGCGGCCACTTTCAGCATCTGACCCACCAGGCCCTGAGGAGCAGTTTGGCTGGGAACTGCCTTTCATCAGACTGGGGGTGGGGCTGCTGGAGGGGCTACAGCCTGGCAGCAGCAAACAGCAGCAGCCACGACCTTGGGAGTGTGGCTCTCCCACCCTGTCCACTCGGCCTGCTGGTCATTTTCTGCCCCCTTCTGCCAGTGCCTGCCCGGATCTCTGACAGCCTTCACCTGCTCCAGGCCTCACCCACAGTCTGGGCCACAACAGGCCCCAGCTCATCGCACACCCGTGCACAGTGTTGGGGTTCTTGGGGACACCTGGTACTGGGTCACACATTCCAGGAGCAGGAAAAGCAATTTGAGTATCTATAAATAAATGTACAATTCTGGGATGTGGATCGGCAGGTTGTATATTCACCTGCTGGGGGTTCTGAGTGTCTGAGATGACTTTCAAGACATGGAATGAGAGAGAACTGAAAAACAACCATTCCCAAAATACAAAGGATGGAAGAAATATCAAGTGCAAGATAACGAGGTTCGGTTGATTCATTTGCGGGCACAGAAAGAAATGTTGCTGATAAAGCCTTAGAACATGAATAAAAATATTTGAGAAATGATAGAATCAGGAAAAATTGCAAGAGTCTAGAGGGAGGGAAGCAAAAATTTGCCCAATTTTTATAGAGGTAGAGTAGATTTTAGAGATAAAAGGCCTGCCAGGAATCCTTAATGTTCATTTCTAAAGAAAGTTCTAGAATCAATGATTAAACTGAGCATTCTGGAATACTTGGAAAAGAATGCGTCACCATTAACGACCAGCCTAGGATCACTGCACAAATAAGGCCACTGCAATATAATTATCTCCACACCAGGATACACCACAGCCCGGGAGTCCCATGTTCAACAGGTCACATGGCTGAGAGAAGCGGTCCTGGTTCAGAGCCACAGGACATGAGAGGTGATGGCCTAGCTGGCTGCATCGCTCGGCCCCAGTCGGCTGCTGCCCTGGGGAAGACCAGCCCAGAGCTGCCAGAGCTGCAGACAGGCGCCCCAGAAGGCCAGGAATTTGTTACTAGCATGCCGTCTCCTAGTTTTTGAATGTTGGCAATTACATTTGTACCAAAGCCTTCAGGGCCAACATAACACAACTCCAGGCCAGATTTACCTCAAGGCCCATCACAACCCACCTTCGAACAGGGAATTCAGCTTTTACTAAATATGCATCATCAATTTCAACCCCTGTCCTTCAGTTACACCAGCTCTGAGACAAGGTGAGAGGAACACCAGCTCTCCTTCGTCCAGAGTCCCTTGGCAGGTCAGGGGAAATAATGCCTTGAAATTAACGCTAAAGGACAGGCCCACTCTGTGGGCAGCATCTTGATTTCAAGACAGCATTTGGTCAGACCACAAATTAAGCCCTTGTGAATTAGCTGGAGAATTCTACGGAATGGTTGTGCACGGGAGTGGATTCTCAGCTGACAGAACCACAGGAAATATAAAAGCCAGTGACTCCAGGTTAATACGAGCTTCCCCTGACTATCCTACTAAAAAGCATAACACCCTCCCCAGCTAGCACGTCCTCCCTTCCTCTCTGGTTTTATTTCTCCGTAACACTTATCACCTTCTTACTTAATTTAGCTAATTTGTTGTCTTTCTTCCTCCACTGGAAAATAAGGGATTTTTGTCTGTTTTCTTTACTGCCATTCCCCAAGTGCCAAGAAAAGGTCTGGCATCTAGTTAGCGCTCAATAAATAATTTGTTGCATAAATAAATGGAAGCATCTGGAGCTAGGTCTTCACACCTGACCAGATGCTCTCCCTCCCTGCCAGGGAGGGTAACGGTGTCTAGAGGAAGATGCATGAAACAGGGCAGCAAATGGCCCAAAGCAGAAAAGGAAGGGGAATATCATGGATGACTGAAACAAGGGCTAAGATTACCTGAGCAAATTTAGATGCTGAGCTACATAGAAATAGTTCACATTTAACAGGCAGAAATGGGAAATCCTGCTTTTGCTTCTCACATCTCAGCTGCTCAGATTGTATCAGAGAAAGAGCTGGCTCAACAGCCATTTTCATTGACTGTGTATTCAAAAAAAATCAACAAAATATGGTCATCTAGTGAGACCTCGCCGTTCTTCTAATTAGGAGACTCTAAATTAGAACTCATTCTGAAAAAATGTGGTTAGAAATCTGTCATGAATGACCACTGGATAGGACCAGAAATTTTTGGTCAAATCAGGTCAAAGCTTTGGGGGTGTCTGTGACTTCACATTCCCTCTCAATCCACACATTTTTCAGGAACTCCTGTTGCTGATCTTCAAAATACATTCTTTCAAAACATTTCAAACAGACACATCCTTCTACGGACTCTCCCCGCCTCCCACCCACCATGTCATGCAGAAAAAGTCAAAGACCTTAGACACCCGCCAGCCTGGCAGGCCCCTCCTTCGCTCTCTGATTTAGCCCCGAGTATTCTGCTCAAGCTCTCAGTTGACTTGCGCTGGCCTTCCTGCTGACTGTCAGACACGTAGGCGTGCTCCAGTTGCTCCTCCAGCAGCAACAGCTGGCAGAGCCTTGCAGGTAAGCCTAGCAATCTTTTCTCAGCCAGAGCCCCCACAAAGATCCTTCATATTGAACCACATTTTTGCCAACCACCTCCAAGCCTATTCCCAATGAAATGCCCTCCCCCACTTCTTTTTTTTTGCCACAAAGCACCACCTCTCTCTAAACTACCTCCATCGCATCACCTGCACAAGAGGTCCCACTAGTCATGCAAAACCTCCCTGACCCTCCCCTCTTGGGAATTCCAAGAGCATCTGTTGTTTCAGCCAGAGTTTTGGAGCGAACACAGCTATACCCGTTAGTATGCAGCTGTTTTTAAGCTACAAGGGCAGAGTTGAGTAGTTGCAACACAGACCAAATGGACCACAAACTCAAAAATATTTACTATCTTGACCTTTATAGAAAGAATTTGCCAATCATTTTCTGTCCCACCCACTTCTTTCTCAATCCTGCACAGAATGTGGTTCAAAACACGACTTCATGAACTAGACAGATTTGCTTTGGAGTCTGTTTCTTCACTTATGGGTTGCGTGGCCTTGCAAGAGTGACTGATCCTTTCTGAGGACCTCAAACTGGTTCTGGCAGGATTAAATACAATCTAAGGGTGACATGCGGTCACCACTTGGTGTGGATCAGCTCTCATGACCCTGTGTCATACCTAGTACTACTATAGTTTCAGAGAGGTGAGGTGGTGCCCACCATCCCCTGCCCCACACCAAGCAAAACACAACTATTTGTTGGTAGAACTTGACTCAACTTTTAGTCTACTCTATAGCCTAGTGGACATATCACTTATCTCTCTACAAAGACTACATGTAAGTATATAAAGGATGGCAACTTTAGCAATTGATAAGGCTCCGAAAGTTCTGCAAGGGTGAGTCCCACGCTGGCACTCCCAGACTCTCCTAGGAATGCCACCAGCCCATGCTTCGGGGATTCACAGGAAGATGTTTGCTGCCAGGGATATTGTAGTAATCTCAACCAAGAGGAGTTAGGCTCCAGTCTGCTTCACCTGAGACAAGCGGAAGGCTGGGTAGAACCCTCCTTGGGTTGCCCATGTAAGTGAGAACCCAGCAGGGTCATGCTCTTTTTTTCGTTGTTGTTTTTTAGCATAGTGATGACGCACGCAGACCCTCCAGCCAGAGCTGACTCTTAGGTCTACCAGCTCACTAGCTCCGTCACCTTCAGCAAGCTCCGTGATGTTTGTGCCTCTATTTCCCTCCTGATAAGCAGGGCCAAAATGGTGCACCAGCCTCATGGAGTTGCTGGGATGATTGAGTCAGTATACGCAGCTAAAGGACTCAGAAAAATGTCTAGAACATCCTAAGCTCCCGATAAGCAATAACTACGTTCCTTTCTTGCACAGATGTTGTCCTCGCTGAATTCCACACATATTTCAGGCTATCCAAACACCACAAGGCAGAGAAATGGGCCATGAATTACTGAGGGCCAAAAAAAATAGGGCTTCTGAAAACAAAATTGACACCTCCCCTGAGGTTGAGGCATGTCTCATGTTCTAGAAGCTTCTCCGTTTGGGGACGTGTCCGACCTACGTTTTCAAAGCTCTTGGTTAGAGGAGTATCTCCTCATCTGAGGTCACACAGGGGACTCTGGTGAGGGTGTGCGGTAGCTACACAGCCCCCTCCTTAGCCATATCAGGCTTTGTACCACGAAGCCCGCATTGTGGCCCGACAGGTCCCTCTGGGTGTCAGAGATGAACTCTTTCGATGCACATTTGAACATCAAGCACTGAAATCACCAGAGGGAAGGTCACAGCTTGCCTTGTCTGTCTCTCATCCCAGTGAGTCCTGAGCTTTAGGTCCAGGCACTCAAATCACGGAGCTCAGGACAACTAAGCATCTCCTATGAGGGTTGTGACAATGAAAAAGCAGTTCTTGATAATTCAACTTTCATATTTAAATTTTAGTACTTGGCAAAAGACCATGAAGCAGCCAGGAGGTGTGTGCCTCAGAGTCTCGGTTACCAAGGATACCTTCCACGCCTGACCTGCCTGCTCCCACAGTGGGTCCAGACACTGCAGGGCATCCACCCCATAACTTCTGGGGAGAGGCCGACATTTATCCCTCAAAAATGGCAGATGCTCTTCTGTTCCACAGTCTGAGACAATCCCTCCCTTCCCCTCCTCACCACAGGCGGTCGTTCTGTCAGCTCCAGCAGTTTCTTGTTTAACAATCTGCGTGCCTCCTGAAATTGACTGTCCAGGGCTGGAGAAAGGGTCCCCACCAGCCCCAAGATCATGTGGCTCTGCAGGAGGTCCCTGTGGAGAGAAGAGATGCACACATGGAACCGAGGGCTCTGGGGGGACCCCCCCCCAAAAAAGCCTCCCCTTACAGAATTCACTTTCTGTATTTAGAGGAAATAAGGGGAACCATTCAAGAAGAGCTTTTCCTGGTGTGGGCTGGAGATGACTGAAGAAGGAACTAGAAGGAAAAGGGAGACTTTTAAGTTGCAGAGAGGATCTGGTAGATGAAGACAAGACTTAGAGTAAAGAACATGGATTTTCCACATCCACCAGCAAAAAGTCTCAGATGTCTCTTGCAAGCACAACAAAATTGGGCTCTGGGACATCTCCGCCCTGCTGGTAGCTCACGCCAGCTGGTTTCTACCCTCACGTAAGCCTGTTCTCACCGCGGGAAAACTTGAATGTCCTGCCCTGTTACAGTGAAGAAGGGCCTGCAGCTCATGCCCCTGGAGGAAGCCACTGTCTTCAGGGGTAGCCACGCGGGTCCAGGGATGACAGCCTCACACAGGCCCCTCCTCAAGTCTGCCCCTTCCTCTACATCCTTAGAAATTCCTTCTCACAAGGACCCCAGAATCCTCTCACCGAGGCTGAGGAATGGCCGCATCCCCAGCATCACCTCGTCTGTCCACTCATCTCCTGCCCCGGTCCTCCCACCCACACCCCTCAACTGCCACCATGACATAAATGACTGGCTGTCCCAGTGATGGACTTTCCAGCATTTTCTATACTTCAGAAGCCCTTTGCAGGTGGGGTCTCCTCCTCCCAGCAAGCCCTGTGTCTTGTGGGACATCCATTTCCCTTATTTCATGTGTGGGCTCCCTATCGTGGCTCCCCAGCCTCGCAGGCTTCCTCTCAGGCTCCCTCCACCCCCTCTTGGTGACCCCCATGCCCCCACAAGTCCCTGGATCTGTCCCTCTGCCTGGGAGGCCCTCACCAGCGCTCCTCTTCCAGTCTCCTTTGTCTGTGACACCTCTGGGTCCTCAGACCCTCATTCCTTTGCCCTCACTTTTCCCCAACCCCACCTGGGGCAAACCTGTTGTTCAACATGTGTTCCTCCACCAGCTGCGACATGTTCTTCAAATACTCCAGGTCGTGGACCATGAGGGGCTGGGAGGGGCGCAGGAGCATAGGTGCAAATGTTGCTTGCAAACAGGACAGCCAGTCAATGGCAGGCGCCATTTCCTTAGAGGAGGGAACAGAGACTGAGGGGGGAGGAGGCGAGGGGATGGGCTTCCCTCCCTCCTGGTTTGGGGGTGACTGGGAGGAGGGACAGAGGCAGAAAAGCTAGGGATAGAAAGGAATGAAAGGCATGAGGAGAAAGCAGACAAGGAGATCGAGAAAGGCTGGGAGACCCTCATGTCCACCGCCGCCAGTCCCCGGTTCAAGGCACCTGCAGTTGGTCCACAGTGACCATCTGGAAGAGCTTCCCCTGTGCCCGCCGCTGCTCCAGGGGCCTCAGAAACTGGGACAGCCGTGAGGTAATGGAGACGGACGAGTAGGCATAATTTTGTACCTTGACTTGGTCTCCTCCCAGCAAGGTGCCCAGAAGCGTCAAGTAGTTCAGGTACTCCCGAACGATCTAGAGGAAGGGCAGCCTCAGCCACAGGCACCAGCGTCCCCTGCCTTTCTCCCTGTTCACAGGCCAGGGCCTTTGGCCACAGCGCCATCTTACCTGGGCATAGATCTTCTGTTCCTGATCTTGCTTGCGGGGAATGTCAAACTCTGGCTGGTCTATCTGGACACAAGAGAGACTGGAGAGACGTGGGGACCGTGGAGGAAGGAGAGGATGGTGGGGGGAGATGGAGACTGTGTCGTGGCCAGTGCCTCAGGACATGGCGTGAGAGAGCATGAAGAAGTGCAGAGAAGGGGTGGGGCTGGGGTGAAAGGCCTTGGGGGGCATCCACCATGGAAATGAAGAGCGTGTGGGTATATCAACCAGTTTGGGGGTGCTCAGCCAGAGAAGCACAAGAACCTGGTCCCGAAGGGGACCACTGCCTGCGCTGGGCCAGGGGCAGGGAGGGAGACATCCACCTCAGGTCTCAGGTGCAAAGTTCAAGAGGAACCAAAAAGTCAGCTATCAAGATAAACAACATGTCGATACTTTTAAAACCCAAAATCCACAATGTGCTTTGAATCCATTTTGAAAAAAACAAAGTGATAGATGTTTTCCCGAAAGTCTAGAGTTTTGACCTATTTGTGGGAATTTTTTTCACCCAAAAATCCACAATAAACAAAACTTTGGTATTTCGTTCACTATGGAGCTTTGCGTTGACTTTTCCTCTGTTTGCAGTAGCCGTTACGATGCTGGTGACGGCCGACTTCGGGCATTCCGTCTCGACGCCGGGCGCGTCTCTCATTCCCTCACCTCGTCCTGCCGTGATTCACCCCTGAAGATCTCCTCCTCCACTTCCCTCTCCCTTTCTCGCCCTTGATGTCGCACTCACACCCTCACCTACCATCTCGAAAAGACTTTTGCTCGACTCCTCTGTCACTTTTGTCCAAACATCAAAGAACTTTATAAAGCCGAGTCTTTTATGCCCGTTTCCACTCCCCTAACTCCCGCCTCGACTCTGTACAACCTGAGTCATTCCCACCAGCTTCCCGTGGCTCTAGGTCCCCAACTGCGTCTCCTCATTCCTGATTTGTGACGACCCCTGGCTCCTGAGACTCCCCACCCGCCAGTCGGTGACTCACCTCTTGGGGCTGACACACCCTCCACCTTTGCCCCCACTGGGGTGCAGCCTCCTCGACTGCCATCCCCTCCACCTAGTCTCCCCTTCAGTGTCTCCAGTCCAAGGATGATGGTGACCACGATCCTCCCCTTCACACCAAACCAAAACCATGGTGTCATCTCCCCATTCCCTTTATTTCTATCCAGCCACCAGGCCCTCTGGAATCTCCACGGGCCACCTCCATTAGGAACGCCCAATTCAAGCCTGGCCTTTCAATTTCTGCCATAATTTCAGTTCAGAATCTCTTCACCTCCTCCAGGTTGGCCACTAAGCTTCATGCGTGGCCAACACATTTGAAAGACCTCCATGGCTCAGTCAAGAGCCTCTTCCTGGTTTCTTAGGCAGGGACTGTCTGGCTCAATCTCATGACTTCAACTTTATTTTTACCTTTCTGAGCTCCCCACTCTACCCCTAAATCCTCCCTTCAACAAACCACCTCCTACCTGACCCACGGAGGAGTCACGCCATTCCAGACTCTCCCCTTAGCTCGGGGTTTCCCCACAGCCCCGTTAACATTTTTCAGCTTTAGGAATCAACCAGGCATCCAGGCCCAGCTCACCGTCTCCCCTCCCTGGATCTCCCCTGAACCACTTTCGGCCTGATGAACACCCAAAGGCCACACCAGTTCAACTCCTGAACTCCTGGGACTCATTCTTGTATAGCTACCCTCTCATAACTTGGTGGGGCTTTGAGAATGCATCACATTGCTTCCCACAACACTGAGGTCTCCCAAGGCTTAACATACTCACTCCACAAACACCCAGTGTTTGTGGGCCTCTGCAGGCCTCGCCCCATGCTACGTCAGAGTAAGAAAGTTGAATGAGGTGTGGTCCCGTTCTGAAGAGGCTCAAGGCCTCTGGCCATGTTAAATGAAAGGGGTGGATGGAGGGGTTCACCTCACTCACAGGTTGTCAGCGAAGATGTCTTGGATTAGATAATCCGACCCCAAATGAAAAGGAGGTAAGAGTTTATCGGGGTGGGGGGGGTGCGGGGGCTGGATGGTAGCGTTGCAGGCAGAGGAAGTGCGTCTGCAAGGAACTGAGAAACGGTCTTAGAGTTACAGGTACAGGAGCCTGGCCTGGGGCTTTGCAGGAAGGAGGGTTTCGGCAGGGGTCAAGGCCTAAGAAGTGTGCAGGGGTCAGCCCTCATGCGATGCTTTGCTAAGGATGAGGAACCAGGTCCTGATGACCTGGTGATCCACCTGGAGGCCTTTAAACAGAGACAATAGAGATTAGCTCTGGTCTAAAAAGGGCCCTCCGGCAAAAATGAAAAGTAAACAAGAGGAGGCAATCCTGGAGATCAGGGGCTACTGAAGAGTGGCGGGAGTAATCCAGAGGAGAGGAAGGCCCTGCCACTCCCTTCCCTGATCTCATCTAGTGTCTCTGGCTCTCTCTCCCATCAGTCCCTTGCCCCAAAGACAGGCCTCCCAAACTCGCCCTATCTTCCCAACCCGCAGCCTTCCCCTAGCTGATGGCAGGCTGGAGGCCCAGGGAGGCGTGGGTCTCCCCATGTTGTCACCGGTGCATGCCTCACCTGGATGACAGGCGTGTGTGGAGGAGCAGGATGTGGTTGCAGGTAGGCCTTGAAGAATGGGAAGTGATCATACTGACTCATCAGAAGACTCAGAATTCGATTGAAGTCTGAGGAGGTCCAGTTCCTGGAGAGCTGCCAGCCTCCCAGCTGGGAAGGAGAGGGCAAGGGCTGAGACGGCTGTGCAGTCGGCCTCTTCCTCAGGCAGCTGCTGCTCCCTGACTTCCCTTGGTCCTGCAGGGCCCCACCTCCAGCCCTCTGTCTCCAGCCTCGCCCAAGGTCCTGACACATGCCCAAGACATTGCCCTTCCCATCTCCCTCCTAGAGACCGGGGATGCCTGGGGAAGAGAGGCATCCTCTAGGAACAAAATGGCAGCCTCCACTGGCCCTGTGGGTTATGAATCCAGAAAGGTTGTGGCCCCGGGTCTCACCTCCTCAATAACTTGTCTGAGGGGACCAGCCCCTGCAGCCTCGATAGCAGCCATGTCCATGCAGGAGCTGTAGAACTGGAAGGCTTTCTCCTCCCCAGAGCCTGGGGGCCAGGAGCGCGGGGCCTCTGGAAAGGAAGCACAGAGCATGGAAGCGCAAGCAGGGAAGGGAGAGGTGGGTTAACAAGGGGAGACTCCTGGGGAAATGGAGGGAGGGAAGGGAAGGGGCGAGGAACGTGTGCAAGATGGGGGGCACCGCCTGGGCAGAACAGGACCAACCCACAGAAGAATAACAGCAGCGAGGGGAGCATGGCGAGCAATGTGACCAAGGCACTAGAGGGGAAGGCAGGAAAGACCGGGGTTACAGGACGCGGAGAAAGGCCAGTGGCAAGAAATGACAGTGGGGGGAGATGAACTGAAGAAAACAGAAAAGGTCAGGAAGCCAGGGAACGTGCTTGCGGGCTTGGAAGGGCTGGAGGAAGGAAAACCTGTAAGGAGAAGGCTAGCCCAGAGGTGAGCCAGAGGAGGCTCCCGAGCCCAGCCTCTCACTCTTTGAATTCGGGAACAAACACACGCGTGACACTCCCCCAGACGCACTCGTGTGAGTCGCGCGCCAGCTCTCCCTGGCCTCCCCGGCAGCTCTTCATTCCATCATGGCTAACAGAAGCTCTGCCTCTCTAGGCCATAACTGAAAGCACAGCCCCTCCCGCTCCCCCATCCAACGCAGGAGGGGAGGGAGACGTGCCTGTCTCCCGAGTCCCGGCCGCCGTGGACAACATCCCCCGGTTCCCTGGCCCTGGAGTGTGGAACTATCGGTCTCATTTCTGGGTGCTCCCACCATCCTCAGCTCCTCTCCCAGAGCTTTCTGGCCCTCTGGGGTTCTTCTCCACAGCAGCCAGGGACAGGACTCTTCCTCACCTGCAGGCCTCTGACCCTGGCTGGCTTCTTCCAGCACGCCTGTTCTGCCCGCACACTCATGCCCTCGCTGCCCAGCCCACCTCCCGATCTGGGGTCCCACGGTCATCTCAGCCATCAGCCCCATTATCCTGCTCCTCCAGTTGGGCGAGGCCCAGGGCCTCCGGGAGGACGGGAGAAGGTGCGGGTGTGTGGGCCCTGACGGAGTCGAGGACAGCACGACGCAGCTGGCAGGCTGAAGAGAGTGGTGGGGAGAAGCGAAGGGCAGAAGGCAGCGGCTGGCAGGGAAGACACCAGTCATCTGACAGAAGCAGGAAGCCCCGGGGAGAGAACAGAGACGATGGAACTCGGTAGAAGAGAGGAGGGAGAGGACCACGGCGAGAGATGGGAGGAGAGGGTGGGAATCAGGCAACACAGAGAGGGAGCAGGGCCCGGCAAAGGCTGTGGAGGGCGCGTCAAGGGGAGAGGGGTCGAGAACCGGCCCAGGCGTTCCCCAAGAGCCACTGAGGGGAGCGCAGAGGGCTTCCCGCCCCCCAGGTGTGGGGCAGGGCGGCAGTTCCCGGCTCCCAGGGCCCTTACCCAGGATTCTCCGCAGTCGCCTTTTGTTGTCCTCTGTCAGAGCCTGCAAAGCACTGCTGCCCCCTTTGGCCTTCCCACAGGCGAAGCTGAAGAAGTCGGAGCAGGGGGCCACGCTGGTGTTCCCAGAGGCCAGATACCCGGCCAGGAGATCCCAGCAGGCGGGCGTCTCACAAAGGCCTGTGGGGAGCAAGAGACAGGGCGCCCCCGGGGGCGGGGCGAGGAAGGCCTACGGGGGTCTGCTGGAGGCCCCCGGGCCGTGGAGGTGCAGGGAGCGGGCTTCAGTGGGAAGGGAGAGGCTGGGAGGGCCGGGATGCGTGGCCAGCAAGTCAGCGAGGATGGCGGCCCAGGACTGGGGGAGGCGGGCGGGGCGGGGAGTTTCCAGGGTCTTGCTTACGAGGACCACAGCCGCGGAAGAGGTAGACCAAGAGCACAGAGGAGCCGAAGAGCAGGCCACAGAGCAGAGCGGCCAAGAGCAGCCGCCTGACCAGCGACCCCCATCCTCGTCCTCGCCATCCAGGGGGCGGCCCCTCCTCTGGAGATCTCTGCTCGGGAGTCAGGATATGGAAACAAAGGATGGGGAGGGGGAAGGGGGGAGAATCAATAAGGAGTCCTGAGGGCCCCCCTGCACAGAGACCATTCTCCTCCTTCCCCTTCGCCCCAGGCCTGTTTGGACCCCTGGGAGTGAGTCGGCTGCGGCCTGTCTTGGGTGAGGGCCAAGCAGGAGGTGAGGGGCGGGTGTCGGTGAGAGCTGGAAGGGATGACTTGCCACAGCGCAGGCCAAGGAGGTCACTTACCTCCTGGCTCCAGAGAGCCCCCATTCCACCGGCCAGGCTCTTCCCCACTCACAGCCACCCTCCTGACCCAAGAAAGAGGGAGGGGGGAGAGAGAAGCTGCTTCAGGAAGGGGAGGTTAAAGAGAGTCATGTCGGGCCCCTTGGACACCTCTCGCTGCCCGCGAGCCCCGTCAGGTTTGCCCAGACGGGTTTCAGAATGAGCCAATTCCCTGTTCCCTGCCTTCCCTCCTACCGAAATCACCCCCTCCTGTTCCTACTCCCCAGCCTCCTACTCCCGCCTCTCTGGTGGGGGATGGCATTTGCACACAGCAGCCACCCCACCCCACGCTACCCTGCCCTGGGCATCTCACCCCAAAGGGTTTCCTCCAGGGGACTTGCCGTCTCTCCGACTGTCAGGCTGTTCTCTCTGGCTCCTGGTTCTGCTCTAGGAGCTGAGTCTGAGGACTGGGGTTCGGGAAATGGCCTCCCTCCTTCCCCCACCCCAGTTCCCTTGGCCTGGAGGAGGGGCACTGCTGCCGCTGGACCCCCAGTCCCCAGAGAGACCGCGGCCTCTGGGTGGAGCCTGTCTATCAGTCAGAAGACACCCAGGCCTCTCCTTTATCTCAGCTCCTCAGGGAGCCACAGGGAGGGAGTCTTTGCTCCCTGAGCAATCCTGCCCTTGGGTGGCTCCTCTCTGGCCCTGCTCTGTGCCTTTTCTCATGGAGTTTCTTTATTTCTGGAATATTCATTCTTCTCTCCTGTCTTCAATGACTGAAATCTCAATTGCTCCCTTACCCAGGATGACTCTCAGCTCCGGGTCTCACCCAGGCTGGGTACAGGCAGAGCCAAACATGGAAAAGGCCAACGGACCAGGAGACCCTGATTGGTTGTCATTTAGTTCAGTGAGAATAAATGAGCCACGGACACTCTCAGTTGGGTGGGTAAGGCTTGCCAGCTGGAAAATGAGGACACTAGTTGCATTTGCCTACTCAGGACTCATCCCTCCTACAAAGGAAAGAGGCAGCATCGGGCCCCTCTAGATCCTGCCCCACAGGTGGCATCGTCAGCCCCACTGACGGCAGGCTGGTAGTGGCAGGGACGGCAGGGACTGTGTCCCTTTGTCCATCACACCACCAAAGATGCCTCACAAATATTTGTAGGCATGAATTGCACAGCGTTCCCCACACCCTCTTGACCCCTCCTGGGGCCTCGGTGAGTGGGTTTCCCCATTCCAAGCAGTGGGAGATTGACGAAAATGTCCCAGGAATGTCACGTTGGTGCATCAAAAGACAGGGAGAGAAACATTTTCTGGAAGAAAATAAAGTCATGGAAATGGATGAAATGGAGGGTGCTGGGGGAAAGGGTAACAGTCACTCGTGAGCTTCAGGTTTACCCCTGGACTGCCCGGAGGTTAGTGATGCCAGCAATAGAAAGTGGGGCTCGGGTGAAGGGCTGGGTGAGGGGTCAGCTAGGAGCAGCACGATGCTTCAGGATTTTGGAGTTTCAGGTCTGCTTGGATCTTTTTCCTCCATCATCTCCCCTGTCCCAGAGAGGCCAACAGTCTACCCGTGAGTTTCTAACTTCCCCTCACCTCTTCCTCCCAGTCTTTTTCTAGTAGTCAAGTCCTGGGGCTGGCATGACTCTAGGAAAATGACCACATGGACAAGTGAGATCAGGCTTGATTGATAAGTTGATTCCCTACTGAGGTTTTCCTATTTTATCTTAGGAGATAATTTATAGGAATTACGACTAGAATGGATTAAGAAGCCTAAAATATTCTGCAAAACTAAAAGCCAGCTGGAGTGCATTTGCTCCGGTCTGACTTTGGACATTTGTCCTGGGAGCAGCTCCTGTGGCCGGGGTTTCGGTTGTGACCGAACTAGAGAGGCTGAGAGGCTGAGCCAACCACAGGGGTTTGCTAGGTCCGCCTCCTTAGCCTGTAGCCTCCTGAAGGCAGAGTAACCTCTGTTCTGGGAGCTGCCTTGGAGCACACCTCGCCTTATCTCCCTGCCCTACTCTGCAGTGAGTCACCACCGCTGCCATGCCCTGTCATGCCTGCCTACAGCCTGTCGTCAGCACTGAGCTGTGCAGAGAGCTGCACTAGCAGCTGCTGCACGTCACGGGCAGGCACACGTTTATCTGCACAGACACTGGTTGCCTGAATGGGTCTTCCCAGTGATTCTAGTTCCAGGATCTTTTGTTTGCTAACATAATATCACCATCACCATCATCATCATCATCCCCATAAAAACACTATGTACTTTTTACAGAGCGCTTGCCTTTGTGCCAGGGAAGATACTGTAAGAACTTTGCTTATATATGTTTTCCCAGTCAGTCTTCACAGTAATTCAAAAAGGGAGGTGAGAGCTACCATTTCCCCACTTTACAGATGAGAAAATAGACACATGAAGTACACGTGCCCAAAGTCAGAAAGTCAGGCGTTCTCAGAGCTGTGATTGAACGGAAGCCTTAACCACTGTGGGTCTCGGTCACTAAGATGTTGTTTTTGGAAGGTCTCTCCCTCGTCAGAACTTCCTCTACCTACACACTGTAAGCTTTTCACTGCTTTGTCTTATTCCATCACTGTTTGGGGAGCTGTTCTTCTTCAACTCTCAAGTAATTCAATTCTACCCTTTGAAGACTGTGATCTTTGTAGTCTCTCCAAAATAAGCTCCTATCTACAGTAGTTAAGGTATCAAAGCCAAGGCTGGCACATTTATCTACAAGCTGTAACCCTCTCTGGTATGTCTCATCAATGGCAATTCATGTCTAAGATGACCAGATTGCAGTGATAACTAAAAAGCTGCCTCCTGAGGAGCAGTACATACTGTTCTGGACAAACCAGAGTGAGTCTCAATGTCATGGGAACTGCTGAGAAATTTGACAAGAGGAGGAAGGAACAGATTATTGGGACAGGTTTGGGAACATTCTCAGAGCTTTTTCAAAGAAAATCAATTGAGAGTTAGGGATCACTGATCACCTGTGGGAACGAAGAATAGATAAGTTCAGTGTTCCACAGAGTGGTTTTTTAAGTGATTGAAGTGACAAGTACACAGATTTTAGTATTTTCATTTCCATATATGCTTTTTCCTTGGTGGTTGTAAGACTAGAACAAAACTAGACTACGTAGTCCCTCTTTCATTAAATCAGTAAGTCAAGCAACACTATATCAAACAAATAGCTAAACCCAAAAACTGAGCTCATAGATACAGAGAACAAGTTAGAGTTGCCCGAGGGTTTATGGGAGTGGGGTAAAATGGGTGAAAGGGGCTAAAAGGTACAAATTTCCAGTTATAAAATAAGTAAGGTCATGGGAATATCATGTAAACATGGTGACTATAGCTATAATACTCTATGTTTTAAAGTTGCTAAAAGAGCAGATCTTACAAGTGCTCATCACAAGAAAAAAAACCGTTAACTGTGAGGTGATAGATGTTAACAATCATTTCACAATATATATATATATATATAAATATCGAATCATCACATTGGATTCATGAAACTAATTAATATTATGTCAACTAAGCCTCAAAAAATACACTAAAGAGATAATAGTTGAATTTGTACTCGAATGTGGCAAAAAGTTAAAGGTAATACCCAAAGACCTACATTTGAAACGTGCAGATGTGGACGTGTCTCAAAATAAGGATGCTGTGTTTTACATTTCTTGATATTTTCTCTGTGCCACCATGCCCTTCTTCCAAATCCAACAACTCTCCAGGGAAATACACTCAACCCAGGAGACTCTGACACATGCTAAGTCAATGTCTGTGTCCTCAAGAAGAATTGGCCTACGATCTTGCTAAGTCCACTGTCTTAGTCAACTACAGCCATCATAAAGTTTTGTAACGAACTGCTGGGAAATCAATGGTTATTGAAAGAAGCAATTATTCTCATGTTCCAAAGTCTGTGTGTTGAGTGCTGCTCAGTGGATGCAGGCTGTGTTTGTTTATGCTTCAGGCTGCATCTGCACAGGCTTGGATCTAGGACGTGGATTCATGCGGGTCTACTATAGGATTGTCTGTTCTGGGGCCCAAGTTGAAGGGGCAGAGGCTGAGCAAGTCATGTTTTCCCACAAAGGATCACTAGAATGAAGACTCCAGCCAAACCAGGCATATTATTTCAAGATTCAGCTTTCATCAGGCTGACTGATTTTCCATGGGTCAAGTTAAGTCATATGGCCAACCAAGCCCAACATCAATGGACCAGAAGAAGTGTACTTTGCTCATAGTGGGAGGGGAAGGGTTGTGACTATTTGCTCAATAATAAATCCAGACCATCACACCCACTGATCGAAAACCTCTCCTACTCTTTTGCTAGGGTGAGGGGCTGGGTCAACCTGTGTGGCAGCTGAAATACTGGAATCAGAATGCTATGTGTGAGACCAGCAGGAGTCTGCATGGAAGAGAAATGGCAGGAACTCAGCTGAGTGGGCTTCCATGTGAGGATCAGCCACAGCTATTTATAACATGTGGTGGTAAGCCTGGAAAACCAGATGGCTCTGAAGGGTACCTCCAGCCTGAGGGCAGTGTGGTTCCCTCACTGTGAACCTTTAAACCAGCGTTCAAATGGGCATCTCACCCTGCTGTTGCAGACAAAATTTCCCAAACTCTAATCATTTTTATGTTGACTTTAACCAATTAACTTCCTTCTGGTTCTGTCTCTGGCTTTCGGATAGCTACCCTTTTAGGTCTAGCTCTGTCCTTCAGAGTTAATGCCATAGCTTGGTTATGTGGATTTGGGCTTGGATGAGCCGTGAGAATTTTGGGTTGAACTCATGCTGGATTGTTAAACAACCAGCTGGCTCAGTTCAGATCCTATAATAGCTCCACACCCGAAGACCTTTATTCTCATATCTCCACCATCAGCTAGCACACACTGCCAGGGGACCACAAAGGGGATCTTAGGAGGTGGAGATCCTTTGGGTACCATGAATGCGAAAACTCAAAAAATCAAGGCTGAATTTAGATTCTAAGTCATTGGCAAGGGGTGTTGAGTTTAAGATGGAATGAAGCTGTCGTGGGTTGACAAGGAAAATAGGCTCTAGGAGGAGGTTTCTAATATTGGAGCAGGGTGAAATTTGCATAGATGGCTATCAGCAGTGTATGGTGTCTGGTGTCCAAAGAATTACAACTCTGAGTTGATGATATTAAAGGAATTTTAGACAGACTGGTGTTGATCTGAACCTGGGTTTTACCACTTACTAGTCATATGATCTTGGGAAAGTCTATTCATCAACCTGTACCCCCCAATTTCTTCATCTGTAAAACAAAGTAATTATACCTTCTTTGTCAGATTAGTGTAAGGTTAAACAGGGCCATGGATGTGTTGTATGTTGCCTTGTATTATAGACCAACAACAAATGATAGCTATCATCACTTGGATGTATTTATTTATGTTGTTTCTGAGTTTCCAAGAGCAATAAAAATAGTATCAGACCATCTGTGCAGAAAATGATAAGAGACTGTGAACCTGGTTTTACCACTTTTGATTTCTCTCACATCTCAATGGAATATAAAATTAAGCTAAGAATTAGCTGAGAGGATGATGACATTGGAGAATGAGGAGTTCTTTACAGAGTCTGGGGGACTGTGGTTTCCCTTTCTCTCACCATGAATTATGTCTACCATTGATTTGGAACTAAGTGAGAAGGTTCAAGAGAATAGTCTAGAAAGCATGGCATAGGAAGAAAACTACATGGTTTAGGAACACATCACAGACAGAGAAGAAAAGTATCATCAAGCTAAAGAGAAATGACTGTGAGCTGCAATTACCCAGAAAAAGAGGAAGTTTCCCCATGAAAACAATTTGAAGTGACTGCAGGAGGAAGTAGAAGTCTGGAAGGCAAAGAGAGATGAACTGGAAATAGAAAATCAGTCATTAAATTGACAAAATGTTCCATTTAAAGAATGTACATGAAAAATGAGATTAAACGACATCTAGAGAAATCAATGAATTTCGAAGTTACACTTTGGTTGCTAGCATACCTCCAACAGCTTCCATCAATCCTGTTAGCTTTCAGTCATCAGTCAGGGTTCCACGCATGGAACTAGCCTTTCCTCCTCATCTGCTGGAGGAACATATCAGTGTGATCTCTTTCTACTTCACAGAAATTCAGAAGAACTAGAAAAAACACAAAGGGAAGAACCAGAGAAACTTGAATCTCTGCAAAATGATGTTCTTGAAGAAAAGACAGATCAAAAGGGATGAAATCCGTGCCTCACTAAAGCTGGAAGTTTGAATGCATGTGGCATTTAGATACTTTGTTATTATTTTCTAAACTACTGCACCTCAAGAGGTAACAGTTACATGCTCTATTGCCTGAAGGTCAGGATTTTGGAATTATATTAACAAGTGAAGCATTGAAATAGTTTCAAAGACATTTAGAATATTTACTGACACCCCTTTGAGAAAACAAAAGAATAAATAAAAAGAACTAACTAGGGAATCAAGTTTCAAAAGTATTTCATTACTTTGTTGAGAGTTTTGTATTTTCCCCAAAATATACCTATGTTGAATTCCCTCTTCTTTTAGCTGCTTGACAATCAGAAGGTCAGTAAAAATGTTCTGGTTTACTATATGTAAGAGTTATAAACCCCTAGTTCCTGGAAACAAATGACAATTTAAAAGTCAGCCTAAAAATAAAACAACTTAAATATTTATTAGGGAATGCTACATTTTCTAAAAGTTGTGTGCACATCATTTATTAAACAGCTTAATACATCTTTTTCTATTTAAAAATAAACAACTTGGCATACCAGAAGACAGCACATGAAAACTCTAAAGACAAAAGGTGATGTGAGCACCTGCCCCAAGGTGGCACAGCACCGAGCACCACACTGGACACAGCTTACCTCCATGGAGTGCAGTTGCTGTGGGCTCTGTGTTCTGTGGATCCCCGGGAAGGAGCTGGCCAGGAGCTGATTTGAAAAGAGCGTGCTGTAGGGCTTCCTGCCAGAAGAAAGGCTACCCAGGAAGAAGAGGCTAGATACATACCCTTAGAAGAAAAAACAAAAGCAAAATCACAAATGACAAGTGGGCAGATACATACCTAATTAGAGGACTTGAGTCAGATGGCCCCAGTGAGAATTACCGAGGAGCCCACAAATGAATCCCATTGGAGAGAAACAACTCTGGACACACGTATTGTCCAGACGACTCCAATCCCACCTTCGAAGTAAATTCTTTTCCATTCCGTCTTTCTCCTCCCTTTCCAAGCATCTATCTGAAAGGAACCAAAACCGGGGTTGTGAACTAGAAAGGAGGCATGTAGGAGGGGGAGAGAAGACTCAGACCCGGGCCTCTCCTCCCATGCAGCCTTCAGCCTTACGCTCGCGCCAAATGGAGCAGGGGAGAAATTGTGAAAGACGACACTCCAGTCCGGAGTTTAGACTGCCCCTTTATTACCTGGAAATGACTGGAGGGCCTCTTATTACCTAAAATACCTGGAAAAGCCTCCGGGCTTGCCTGAGATCTCACCCACAGGTGATGAACAAGCCTATAGAGCTGACTTGCAGAGATGGTTGTGAGAAAGTGCAAAGACAATTCTGCTTGTGTCCTGCTGAGTCCGGCCCTATTAGTAAAGCAGTCACATTGACTTCATGACCCAGACAAGGAACTTCTTTCATCATGTGAAAAATGAGAGAATTAGCCTTGTGCATGATTTCAATGAAAGCTATCTGTTAATCCAAATGTCATAAAACATCAGCATTGGCTGATTGGATTTAATGTTCAGTAAGTATTCTATGCTGTACACATGGATTAGTGCACCTTAATTGGGACAATAGGAAATGAAAGAATGAGACAAGTTGTGTGGTCTCCCTCTGAGAAGATGTTCAGAAAACACCAGAAATATGACTGATTTGTTAGGAAATGTACCGGTTATTATTGCTCCTTAATAAAACCCCCCACATTTGGTATCTGAAAAAGCAACTTACTGGCTCTCCAGTCTATGGCTTGGCATATTAAGTGCAAATTAGTACAGGCGAATTATGCCAGCCAAGTTCATTTATGTGTTCGGTTTTAAATGGAAGGCCTGCTCAGGGCTGCCTAGTCCAGAATGGTCTCACTGACATGCGTGGTGGTTGGCTGAGGCTGTTGGCCAAGGTGCCTCAGCTCTTCCATGGGACCCTTCCAGAGGCTAGCTCAGACTTGTTCCCATGGCAACTGGATTCGAAGAGAGCAAGAGTATAATCTGCAATGCTCCGGAGACCTTGGCTGCAAATTTGTGCATCACTTCTGTTATATTGTATTGGTCAATACAGTCTCAAAGCCAGCCCAGATTCAAGGAACAGAAAAATAAACTCCGCCACATGAGGAGAAGAATTGCAAAGAATCTGCAGCTAAAGAGAAAGGCAGCCTTCCCTGTGAAGTAACATGTCATAAAGAGACCACTGAACTAGGAATCAGAAAACCTGACATTCAGTCCTACAGTTCTCATTAAACTAGATGTGTGATTTTGGCCTCATTTTCCAGATCTGTAAAATCTAGTGTTCAGTCTGTGATTCTGGGTTCCTGATGTGGTTTCTACTTCTTTCTTCTCTGGGGACCTCACAAGTCTCTATAAGTTTAAGGCCAGGGTACCAACACCAACTGATGGAACTGCTTCTCTCTCCCACCTAAAGATAACCAGAGACCAGAGAAGGAACAACCAAGCCCGCCACCCCCACTCCTGAAATTCTGGCCAAAGGGACGTAAGCAGAAGTGTCATGGGGTAGCTATTTGGAATCTTCTTTAGGAGACATTTGCCATTTTCCCATTTACTATCTATTTTTTTAGGTCCTTCTCCCCTCTCCCCACCTCTTCTGCTACCTGGAAGGCATATGTTTCATGAATGATAAGAATAAGCTTTGCACTTGAGCTAAGGAAGATTGATTGAGTTTTAAGGAATCCTGGGTTAGGTGTCTGTGTACTTTGTGGAGATAAGTGTTTATACCAGCTCCAAACTGTATCCCTCAGGTATTTTATATATTGGAAAAATGACTGTTTTCTTTAGGCTGTTATGGCATTTTCTCTCTCACGGATGACTCTAGTCTTACTAATAAACAGATGCTATCTATCCAAGAAAAATGAGGTTTGGGCAATGTCTCTCACCCAGGGTTGTTAACATAGACTATTGTGTTGTGAACTGCCTAACTCTAGGAATTGCCAACTACAAGGATAATGATTTTCTATAGGGTTGTGCCACCCTATACCTAATAGCTAGCATGATGTGAAATGAAGTAGATCTCACACTGCTATGTTGTTACTATAATGCTTGCTGATTCACCCAGAGACCTGATGTCCTCATTCAAACATAAACTTCGAAGCTCTTTCTGTAAGATTCTTTAACAGTTGGAGTCTGCCCAAGAAAACAAAAACTACTCAAGGTATTTCACACAGAGGAAACTTAATGCATGTAATTGAATACACAGATGATGGAAGAAGTGAGCCAAATTGGGGTGGTGGGAGGAGACAACCCCCCTTAAGGTTAGAGGAACAAAGGGGAAGAAGATGTTACCAGAGCCGTGAAGCTGGGGCCACCCACAAGAAAATGAAATCATAATGGGCCAGTTTAGCAAACTGGGATCTTAGGAGAAAAAGCTGTCCTGTGAGAGCTGGGAACACAGATAAGAAACATCTGCCACTGGAGGTGAATCCGAAGCAGAGAGAGAGAAAAAAACACACTGGCTTCATTTTCTACTTTCACCTTCTTTCCCTTGACTAAATCTTCCTGTAAGTCAGAGGGAAAGGGACCATGGAAAACTTAGGTCTTTGTAAAATAGTGTGGCAGAAGAGGTCTAGTAATTGATCTGCAAACAGACAAATGACTAAGAGTATTTAGTTCATTTGAACGGTTCTGGGAACATGCACAACTGCTTCAAGATCTGATGACTAAGGTTGACTCAAAGTTGGGAGGAAAACTATCCTTTTGTGTGCAGAATACATCAATATCTTGAGAATTAGATATTCTTCATCATCTAGAAATAGCATCCTTGGAATGGACACCCCTATTTTCATAGTCTATGATTTATAAATTTAATACAATCTCTAAAATCTCATTGTCATTTTTTTACAGAAATAGAAAAACAAGCCTCAGTTCATATGGAATTACAAAAGACCCAGATTATTCAAAGCGATCTTGACAAAGAACTAGGCTAGAAGCTTCATACTTCCTGCTTTCAAAATATATCATAAAGCTACAGTAATAAAAATACTATGGCATTCCATCAATAAACAAGTGCAATCTGGAATTAAAAATATAATAATGCTTACATTAGCACCTCAAAAAAAGGAAGTACTCGGACATAAATCTGACAGAATACATATAATATCTGTTGGAGGAAAACTGCAGAACTGATAGAAAAAATCAAAGAATTAAATAAATGGAGGGCCTCCCTGGTGGCACAAGGGGTTGAACACAGCACTATGAAGCTGTCAGCAGCCTCTACAGCATGAGTTCAATCCCTGGCCCACCAGGGAGCTACCCACATGGTACAGCAGACCTCTCCTGTCTCTTTTGCTGCTCCCCTTGGCAGTGTATGTCAGTCACTCTGCCTGTTCTATTCCCTGCTCTGTCTCTAGTGAATCCTCTCACCCCCTGCACCTTTGGTCTGTACACCTGTTCTTCTGTGCATAGATAAATAAATCTTTTAAAAAAGATATTCCATGTTCATGAATAGGAAAACCCAGTATCATTAGATGTCGATTCTTTTCAATTGACTATAGATTCAATGCAACTTCAATCAATGCCAGCAAATCATTTTCTGGATATTGACAAGCTGATTTTAAAGCTTATATAGAGGTATAAAAGACTCAGAACAACCAATAAAATACTGAAGGAGAGAAACAAAGTTAGAGAACTGATAGTACTAACTTCAAGGTTTACTACAAAGCCACCGTTATCAAGACAGTATGGTAATGGCAAAAAAAGGGGTGCCTCCCTGGTGGCGCAAGGGGTTGAATGCAGCACTGTGAAACTATCTGCAGCCTCTGCAATGTGAATTCAATCCCCAGCTAGGGAGCTGCCCACATGACACAGCAGACCTCTCCTGGCTTGCCCACTGCTCCCCTCAGCAGTGTACTTTGATCTATCTGCCTGTTCTGTTCCCTGCTCTGTCTCTGGTGGATCCTCTAACCTCCCACACCTCTGGTCTGTACTCCAGTTGTTGTAATCATAAATAAATAAATCTTTTTTTAAAAAGTTGGGTACATAGAACAATGAAACAGAGTAGATCCATATAATATCAATATACAGTCAATTGATCTTTGATAAAGATACAAAGGAAATACAAGGAAACAAATGTAGCCTTTTCAACAAATGATACAACAACAACTGGACATCCACATGCAAATAAGTAAGTAAATAAATAAAATGTGTCTAGATATTGACCTACACTCTCAAAAACATTAGCCCAAAATGGATCATGTAACAAAATATAAAACTCAAAACCATAGGGACTCCCCTAGTGGCGCAGCGGTTGAGCGCTGGGCTGCGAAGCTGCCTGCAGGCTCTGCAGCACCAGTTCAATCCCCGGCTGCCAGCAAGGGTCCCACATGGCGCACAGACCTCTCTTGCCATGCCTGCTGCTCCCCTCAGCAGTGTCCTTCGGTCCTTCTGCCTGCTCTGCTCCCCGCTCTGGCTCTGGTGAATTCTCCCACCCTCCTGCGCTTCTGACTGTACCCAGTGCTTGTATAAATAAATAAATAAATAAATCTTTACAAAAAAAAAAAAAAAAAACTTAAAACTGTAACACTCCTCGCAAGCAACATAAGATAAACCTAAGACTTTGGTACAGCAATGACTGTTTTGATAAAACACCAAAGGTATGATCCATCAAAGAAATGATTGATAAGTTGGATTTCACTAAACTTAGAAGCTTCTGCTCTGTGAAAGATGTCACAAGAATGAGAAAAAAGGCCACAGACTGGGAAAGAATATTTGCAAAAGACACATCTAATGATTATTCATAATTTCCAAAACATGGAAGCAATCAAGATGTCCTTCAATAGAATGGA